CCTCCTGGAAGCCCTTGTCTCGGAAGTGCCGCCCTTGCATCATCCCAGGCAGTTCTTAAAGGTCGTGGAGTCTGGGCCACGTCTGGAAAGAGTCTCCCGGAAACAGCTTTGTCCCGGTCTCCACCCCTTCCCTCTACATCCCCTGACTCGCAGGCCCTGGCTCCGTGGTCCACTCTGGGTCTGGGGCCCAGGCTGAGGCCTGCAGGGACTTACACGTGCCACTTCCTAAGGCAACTATGAGCTTCTGGAAGCACGTGAAAGTCAGAAAGGGCCGTGCAAGAGTTTATGATCCACATGGCAGCCCAGGTCCATGCAGCAGGAGTGGGCCAGGCAGGGGAGGATCCTGCTGCTTCTAGGGGACCCCAAAGGGAGGCTCCTCTGGTGATGCTGGGCGGGCACAGTTCTCACACTCACGAAGGTTGCTGCTGCTTCCTAACTTGAAGAGGAGAAGCTAAGGATTTCCCCAAGGCTGCATGTCACACTCATCCTGTGTGGGCTCTTCCCTGCAGCCCAGGGCTTGCCCGACGGCAGGAAGCTGCGAGGGCCAGGTAATGGACAAAGGCTGTCTGTGAGAAGGCCAGATGGCTGCTGGGTCTGGATCAGGCCTCTGGAGGTGGGTGTCCAGAAGTGGGTGGTGCAGCCACTGGTAGCTCCCTGGAGCACCAGCTGTTACCATGGCGACAGAAAGAAATGGTGTCGGGCTGCTGTGTGAGACGTGTGTCCTCACAGCCTCCTGCTGTGGTGAGGGGGCAGCTCAGGAAGCTTGAGGCTGACAGCTGTGTGTCTGTGCTTTTCTTCTGGGATGAAAAATTTTCTTCCAACATCCATTAAAAAAAAATGCCAGTGGAAGTCATAGCTCCCCCTAGAGGTGAGTGTGGTGAGGAGGGGTCCCCGGGAGACCCTCCCCCGCAGGTCCCAGTCCTTGGGTGGGAGGTGGAGAGGGCAGGGTGTGCTTCTGGCTGCCGGCCACTGGCAGGGGACTCCCAGGCCGGAGCCCTTCTTGGGAAGGGAGAGGGCTGAGGTCTCCCAGGCAGGGGCAGGGTGGGGCAGGCGGGAACCCTGTTCACTGACATGTTCTCACCAGGAGTTAAAACTCCTGCCACTCATTGCTTATGTTTCAGAAGTGTCTGTGAATGCACCCATGACAATCATATCGTCCTAGCCACAGACACTAAAGCCTCGCAGGAAGGACAGGCCCCCGTGCCCACCAGGTGTGTGCACAAGCACAGGGAGAGCAGTGGGTGGCCAGCGGCTTGCCTGAGCCCCTGACCATAGTGTCCACGGGAGCGGAGGCCACAACCACCCGGCTCTGGTGCCGCACGTGGGGTGCACAGCACTTACTAGGGGAGGGGGTGAGAGCCACGAGCTTCTCAACTTGCTGTGGGCCTGGGGTCCTGGCCAGCTCCCAGTCCTGCTTTTTCGCCAGGGCCAGCCCCTACTGGACGTGAGGGCACTGGAGGCCGGTCCCAAAGGTGCCACTCCCAGCCCCTCCCAGACGACCCCGGGGCTCCATCAGTGCCACAGGGCTTGAGCGACTTGCTTCCAAGGTCTGTCCAGACTATGCAGCTGACCCTGCTCTTCTCCTGGGAAGGCAGAGGTCCCAGCTCAGCCCTTCAAGGGGCAGGCCAACGCTCACGGCATGTCTCCTGTCCTCAGGGTGGTGGCCAGGCAGCTGAGCCCCTGTGCTGAGGGTCCCCCCACCTCGCGTGCCTCTGGGGATGGCCTGGCTGTGCTGGCCTTCTGCTGGGTGGGCCTGTCGGTCCAGCTGGTGGGGAGGTGCGGTGCGGCTCCAGGGGGGAGGAGAGAGCCGCCTGCTCGCCAAGAGCAAACACAATGCGGGGAAAATGAGGCCCTGAGGGCTCCGTGCTCCCTCCCCTCTAGCCTCTTCACCCTGGAGCCAGGAGGGGAGGGGCTGCAGGGGCCCTAGGAGAGGGCTTCGGTGGGTAGGGTGGGGACCAGCAGCCGGAGGCCCTGCCCTGGGGGCTCGGGCCCAGGGGGACCAGGCCGAGCCAGCAGCTTTTCTTTTGGCTGGACTGGGGCGCATGAGCTGGGGCTCCAGAGACTGGAACCAGCAGGTCCTTTTGGAGCCTGAAGAGAGAATGGGAGCGGAAGGGCCCCAGCTGGGTGAGGGAGAGAGATCAGCCCCTGAAGGCCCAACTGTCCTAGGAGAGCAAGACCGAAGAGTGATGCTGGGGGGCTCCAGACTCAAGTGGAGAGGCTTCTGTCCCTGGGAGACACTGGGCAGCTTGGGCAGCTGGCGCTGCAGCTTCAGTGCTGGGAAGTCCTGGGGCCTGACGGAAGGCCCCAGCTCCCCAAGGGTCTGGCCAGATGCAGGGGACTCAGGAACCACACCTGCTGCCCAGGCTCTGGGGGCAGAGTCCTCTGCACTGGGCCTGGGTGGGGACCACTCTGCTCCTGCTGGCCTGGGCTCTCGGGGGCAGCTGTGTCCCCTCACCCTGGGCTCAAGGTCAGGCTGGAGGCCAAGCTGTCCACTTGCACCTTTAACTTCTGCAGTCTCTCCTCCAGGTCTTCAAAGCTTGAGGACTCCTTCAGAGAAAAAAAAATGTCCTGTGGGGAGGGGGGATGTTGGGGGAATCCCGTCAGCAAAACAGCGCAGCATGGGCGGCTGAGAACCCCACGTTTGTCAATTAAACATGAACACGGGGCTTCCCTGGTGGCGCAGTGGTTGAGAGTCCGCCTGCCGATGCAGGGGACGCGGATTCGTGCCCCGGTCCGGGAAGATCCCACATGCCATGGAGCGGCTGGGCCCGTGAGCCATGGCCGCTGAGCCTGCACGTCCGGAGCCTGTGCTCTGAAACGGGAGAGGCCACAACAGTGAGAGGCCCGCGTACCGCAAAAAAAAAAAAAAAAGAACAAAACATGAACACGTCAGGTAGAAAGCATCATCCTAATTCCCTTGTATTAACTTAGTGTCTTTAGGAAAGCGGTGTCTGTCCTGCCTAGTGGCTTCCACCTAAGACTTTAAGTGACAAACACAAGCGGACCGGACATTCTGTGGGCCCATTGGAAACCGGAAAGTGTGAGCAGCACCGCTGTGACGAGGGAACCCGGAAGGAACCCCTCCATCAAAGGGGGGGCGGTGCAAGCACCTAAATCTTAAGATTTCTGTTTTTTAAGCCAAGTTAAACGAAACTGACTTTTTTGTGAAACTGACTTTAAAATTTATTTATTTATTTGTTTGACTGCCCTGGGTCTTAGTTGCAGCGTGTGGGATCTTTTGTTTGTTCGTTTTAGTTGCAGCGTGCGGAATCTTTAGTTGCGGCATGTGCGATCTTTATTTTTAAATAATTTTTATTATTATTACTTTTTAATTTTTTGTTATTTTTTAATTTATTGTGGCTGCGCTGGGTCTTCGTTGCAGCATGCGGGCTCTGTGTTGCGGCATGCAGGCTCAGTAGTTGGGGTGTGTAGGATCTTAGTTCCCCGACCAGGGATCCAACCCAGGCCCCCTGCATTGGGAGCATGGAGTCTTAACTGCTGGACCATCAGGCAAGTCCCTGACACTGACTTTTTAAACGCAGAACTTTATTTTCAATTATTCCTTGTCATACAAAAGGACACAAGCTTTCCAAATGCTGGCCTGTGGATGGAGCTAGAGAGTTGCCTGTGACCCAGGACCTCACTTCTCTTACCCATTTCTTCTTTACCCAGCAAAACCAGCCCGGAGTTCTATTGGTTGTATGGTTTGTAGCTGATCTGTAGAGACCTTGATGATGGCCAATGAGGGACATCTTTGGTTTTTCTCTTGATTTGGGGAAACGAAACAAACAACAAACCCCAGACAGAATTATCTTAGAATTTTTTTGTTCCTATTTTTCTTCAGGCTTAAGATTAAGACTGTTTTCAATCTAGTGGAGAAACTCCGTATAATACTGGGAACTCAACAAACTCCATCAGGGAAAGAACGCAGGGGCAACTTGGATATTGGCCCAAGAAGCAAACTCTGCTAACTTTGGACACTGGGTTCTAGAGCAACGCTGGCCTCTGTCCATCCTTGTCTCTCTCTGCCCCAGGCGGTCCAGCCTGCACCTTGGTCCCTGAAGCAGGCACGTGGCCTCTGGGGGTTCCCAAGGAGAAACCTCACCAGGCAGAGACCAGAGCCAGGACCCCTGGGCCTTGAGGAGCTCTCCTTCCGCGACGGCGCCCTCTGTGGGGCCTCGGGGGCTCTGCCGTCCCATACTTCTGGGGTTGCAGAGCTCTGTCCCCTCCCTTGGGAGCCACTTTACCTACAACCACGGACCGCTGAGTTTTGTTGTGACGCCGAAGAGGAGGCTCGGGAGAGCCCTTCATTCTACTGATGGTTGCGGGAGATTGGCCGGGGCCGCGCTTCCGCTCTTCCATCATCTCCGTAGCACTGACTGTATGCGCTAGCACCGAGACCCACTAAGCACCGGGCCGGCTTGCCCCGCGCCGGACACGCCCGGCCCGTAGGGCGGTTCGCCCTGCGCTGGACACGGCCAGCCCGTGCTCCGCTGTCCGAGGGGGCCGCTCAGCCCGCGGCGCCGGCGCCTGCTCTCGGGCCCGGTCCCCAGACCCCCGACCCCGCGCCCGCCTCGGGCGGGGTCCTCCCCCGCCTATCGGCCGCCTCCCACACTCTTCCTCTCGTAGGCCTCTCCCTCGGTCGGGACGCCGCGCATCAAGTGGCCTCGGCTCCAGCACTGGCCTCTCTGCGGCCCCGGGGGCCGGAACTCTGTGGGCGCCCATAGCAACGGGGCCAGTGTCGTTGCCACGCGGAAATGACGAACCCAAGGGCGCGCACGCGCCCAGACCCTCAATTTCGTTCCTGACCAACCCCGGTCACCTGGCACCTCGCCCCGCCCCCTGACGGCCTACCCGCCCCCCTCACCGAGTCAGCTCCTGCAATCGCTGCAGCGATGCCGTGACGTCACGGTCCTCGCAGCCAATCCGAGGGCCGCGCGGGGGGGGGACATGGACCTCACGCGCATCCGTCGCTCTGGAGGAAGGGCCGCCGCCGCGCCTGCGCAGTCTCTGCCGCCGGCTCGCGGCGCGTGGACCGTGCTCTGCGTCGCGCGCGTCCGAACGGCTACGGGTTCCGGCGGCGGCGCGTGGAGCTCGCGAGCCATGTCGTGGCTCTTCGGCATCAAGGGCCCCAAGGGCGAAGGCGCGGGGCCGCCGCTTCCGCTGCCGCCCGTGCAGCCCGGGGCCGAGGGCGGCGGGGACCGCGGCGCGGGGGACCGGACTGGGCCCAAGGACAAATGGAGCAACTTCGACCCGACGGGCCTGGAGCGCGCGGCCAAGGCGGCACGCGAGCTGGAGCACTCGCGTGAGTGCGGGGGTTGGGCGCGGGGAGGGCGGCCGGGCGGCGGGCTCGGGGGCACGGTGGCCCTTAGTGGTCTGAGGGGTCGAGCGGCGAGTGGCCGTCGGGGAGAAACCGGTCTCCAGCGGTAAGCCAGCCGGAGCCACCCTGCGTGCAGGGAGGTTCGGGATCCCCTGATCCTCTGGCATCTTCCCAGTTGCCACGCGTCCTTCAAGTGGGGAAACCGGTGCCGAGGGGACTCAGAGGGTACAGGCAGCAGCTGGCAGGGCTGCACCCTGGTCTTCAGTTACCGCCTCTTGCCGTCTCCACGTGGAACGGCCAAGGGTGGCCTGGTAGGGGATCCGTCCGTGGTGGTTGCTTGGCAGTTTTCCGCTTAAGAAGGGAAACGTGTTTGAGGGGCGTTGGTCTTAAGGGAAATAAAGCAGATTTGCATTTATCGTTGGAAAAAGGTAGCGTTCAGGTAGGCGAGATCTATAAAGCAACAGATCAAGCAGCCCTGGGCCAGTTGATGACCTTCCTGACCCAGGCCCTCAAGACATCAGCGGTGAGTGTACCTTCACTGAGCCCATGGGTTTTTTCACGACCTTCTTTTTTCTCGTGGCTTTAACAGTTTGTGTGAAGATCAAGATTAAGGGTCTGGAATATAGCACATGCTGAGTAGGTAATAGCTGGAAGAATACAGTAGCTCTTAAACTTTTAAGCAGAGGTGCTCTATTCTCAAAGAAGACTTTATGGAGCAGTCTTGTTGTGAGCAGAGGTGAGCACAGTCTTCCTGTCTGAGGAGGGGGTGGCCTGGCACTTTGTGGCTCAGTCCCCGCCTTCCCGCTGGGGCCACGAGAACATCCTGGGCAAAGGTCTCCAGCCTTTCTGGTTCTCAGATCCTGGGAGGGACATTCAAAACAGAACAGCCTGTTTCCTTAGGCCTAGCTGGAACACGCCCTTCTTCAGAGTGGGTGTTAAGTATATTAGATGTATTAGGTTTGCAAGATAATTTCAGTTATCACTTGATGACTGAAGAGAGGCTTGCAGAGGAGTTTGAGAGACAACGGTTGGGCTTCAAGAAACCTCAGATGATGACAGACTTCTGACACGAGACCTAATACTTTAGGTTTGTTGGGGGGGTTGGCCCATTCACCGTGCCCAGAATTTCAAAGTTTGCCTCCTTTTGAAATGTGAAGGCCGACTCTTGGCCTCTGAAACCCACACAGTTGTACGTACAGGCTGGTGTGAATAGCCTTGGGTGTGTCTGAGGGTAGCAGCGACTTCCTGTCTGCTCCTGCCTGTGAATTGCTCTCAGGTCTCCTGCACTGGCTGCCCCAGAGCTCTTGCCCCAGGACATTCTCCACCTGGGTCCCCAGAGCCTTGGCCTCTGCTCCCCCATTTCCCCAGCAAGCAGCATCTCCTGCAGAGTCCCTAGCTACCACCACCTAGAGGCATGGTCCTCCCCACTGGCGTCCACATCCAGTGATACTGTCTCAAGTGTGGACTCTACTTCATTTTTGTTCCTGCCATCCTTCCTGGCTTTTCTGCTGGCCGATGGGGGAGGTTTCACCCTGGGCTGCCGCCCTTTCTGTCCCCATACCCTCCTTCCCAGGGTGCCTGAGCCCCTTCTGTCCTTAGCCCCTCTGCAGGCCTGTTGTCTGGAGATGCTCCCAGTTCACAGCCAGAGTGCCTGCCCTGGTTGGCCTGTACCCGCTCTTGTTCACCTCACTGCTCTCTCCACGCAAACCAGAGACGTCCCCAGCTGCTTCTTACAGCCTGACCACTGTCTGTGTCCTTCGGGGCCCAGCCTGATGCTACCCAGTTCCCCAGGTTTCCCAGGCCCTCCTTGGACACCAGAGCAGCACGTTGGCCTTGAGCTGTGTGCTCCACGCACGTACAGGGTGCCTGCCTGTGGTGGGTGCAGTTAACGTGGCGGCTCGCACATCTCTCGGTGTAGGACGACTTCGAGGTGACAGTCATCATCGTCAGCACTGAGGCCGTAGCTTGTGATCAGGGAGCTCGCGGGTTCCTGTGCTGAGCGATTTACGTGCTTTCTCCACCCTACTCCACGGGTCGGGGGAGGGAGCGCCCTGCTCCATTGGCAGGCAAGGTGCTCGGAGCAGTCAGCCTACCTGTCAAAGGTCACGGCGTGAGTAAGCAGGCCAGCTGCAGGTCCTCCCCATACTCTGAAGCCAAACCACGAGCCCCAGCCTACCTCAGCCCTAGAGCTTCCACCACGTGCCAAACACGTGCTTGGAGCCAGCGAGCCCCAGGGGTTATGCTGTAGTCAGTGATGCAGGTGCTGCAGCTTGGGGTCCTGGGGTCTGCTGCTTACCTTGAAGGCCTCAAAAAATAAGACAGATTGTGGTGAGGGGGTAGAAGGGTGGGCGTGCGGGCAGCAACCTGGGAGCGTGGTAGCATCAGGGAGGTGGGCTCATGGGGTCCCAACCTTCTCTCCGTGCTTTTATGTGTTAGAAAGTTTCTGTAGCGAAGCGTGGCGCACAGGAGAACTCTGTCATCGCGGATCTGTTAGAGAGGCCCGACGTGCAGGCGTTTTCAGCAAGGAGAGCACCGGATACCCACATATTTCCACATGTGAATTCCGCTGATGAAGAGAATACACCTGGAAGTTGTCAATCACACACACACGTGTTTCTAACATGTGGCCTGTGAAGAGCTGTCAGCCTATGTGCATCGGCTTCTTTCTGGGTTTTGGGTTTTTTTTTTTTTAACATTTATTTATTTGGCTGCACCAGGTCTTAGTTGCGGCATGCGAACTCGTAGTTGTGACATGTACGATCTAGTTCCCTGACCAGGGACCTAGACCCCTGCACTGGGAGCACAGAGTCTTAGCCACTGGACCACCAGGGACGTCCCTTCCTTCTGGTTTAATCCTTGTTTGCCCCTTACGTTCTTGCCTGCCTGTGCTTGCCTGTCTGTGAATCAGTAACAGGTATCAGAGGCTCAGGAAAAATGTTCGCACTGGAAAAATAAAGGACGTTCTAGCCACAGGCTTGCTTTTTGTTTAATGGGGAAATGACCACCATGTTGACCCTCCTGCTGTCAACAGGCAGGCAGGGGACAGCCTCTCTGATGGAACCCTTTGGAGTGTGACAGTCCCCTGGGGGCAGACTGCGCACACACGCTTTCCGCTGGGGATGGAGCATACACAGGTGGCCCTTGGAGGGAGGGGTGGCTGAGCAGGTCCGACCAGGGTGGCCACGCGTGCGCTCAGGTCGAGGTGGGCTGTGGTGTCCCTGAGCAGCCCCTGGCACTTGTGAACACTCGCCCGGTGTCCTGATGCCCACACACCTGCCCCCGCTGCAGGACACGCCAAGGAGGCGCTGAGTCTGGCACAGATGCAGGAGCAGACGCTTCAGCTGGAACATCAGGCCAGGCTCAAGGTGAGTGTGGGTGTGGTGCTGGCAGAGGTGGGCTGCAGCCCCGAGGCTGAGGGGCCCCCGGACAGACAGAACATGGGCGGTGGGTGCAGCTCCTCCCTCTAGGATTTGAGGGAAGCGGGGATCAAAGACAGGTGTGTGGCCTGAGTTTTGTACAGAACTATCTGGAAGGGCAGATGTGGGTGAGGAGTCTGGTCTCCCCGAGGGGGGACTCCTGCCGTCACTCTGAGCACGTAGTGAGCGAGCGTAGGAAAGGCACAGGCTCTACCCTCCACCAAGCGAATCAGAAAGCAAGCACGTGGCATAAGTGCAGCGGAAGCGGTGTAGGGGGCTGGGGGAGGGACAGGCGCCCCAGGAGACCGTCTGGCTGCTTTGGGGCCTTGCCCTGTCCGTTTTCCTGGCTTCTCTCTGCTTGTGGGTCTGGGTCCTCCTGGGCCTAGGTGAGGCTACAGCTGAGCACCCACAGGCCTGTGGGGTGCAGACCAGGCTGCATCCCTGCCCAGGCGCTGCACAGGCTGTCCGGCTCCTTGGAGCCCACGCAGGGGAGGGGCGTCGGGGCGGGAGGCCTGGCCAGGCCCTGGGCTCAGGGCGGCTGGTGTGTCGCGCAGGAGTATGAGGCCGCCGTGGAGCAGCTGAAGGGCGAGCAGGTCCGGGTGCAGGCCGAGGAGCGGAGGAAGACCCTGAGTGAGGAGACGCGGCAGCACCAGGCCGTAAGGCGGCGGGGTTGGGGCATGCGGGGCGCTCCTTGGGCCCCGCGCCCGCCGAGTCCCACCCTGGACCATGGCTTCTGTGCCCGGGCCGTGTGCACACCACCCTTTCCCTCCCTAGAGGGCCCAGTACCAGGATAAGCTGTCCCGGCAGCGCTATGAGGACCAGCTGAAGCAGCAGGTGAACTCTGCCCAGCCGCCTGTCTTCCCTGAGGGCGTGGGCATCCCTTGGGGCGGGTGGGGGCCAGAGCCTGGGGTCTGCCCGGCAGTAACCACTACCTTGGAGGGGTGGGGATCTGCCCGCACCGCCCCAAGGGTCTCCCGGGTGGGACCCTGACTGACGGGTCTGTGGGGGGCATTCAAACGGGTCTGTGGGGGGGCATTCAAACATCGAGCCTGTTGTGGGCGTTTTAGTTTTTAAATTAAACAGTCCAGCAAAAAGCCTGTTTTGTGAGGACAGCCATGGGTCAGGGCTGCTCTGAGGCCGAGCTAGGCTGGGGGCCGCGGCTCCTGCCTCGGGCCATGCAGCCTGCAGGCCTCAAGGCGACCATCCCCTGGGGTCGGAGCCCCTGGGGCGATGGGGACATCTCTGAGGCCAGAGCAGCTAACCTGTTGGTGTGATGTTGACTGTTTCCTAAACTCGAAGCCCTTCCCTCTCCCTTGTGGCTCCTTTTCAGCAACTTCTCAACGAGGAGAACTTACGGAAGCAGGAGGAGTCCGTGCAGAAGCAGGAGGCCCTGCGGCGAGGTAGGGCCCTGGCCTGGGAGCTCACGGGCCAAGGGCCACGGGCCTTGCTTCAGGCCCTGTGCTTCCCAAGCAGCGTGAAGCAGCGGGCGCAGAGACCCTTGGGAGAGGGGGGTGGGGGGGTACCCGGGGGGTACCCTGCGCTTGCGCTTCATCCTGGGTCGGGGGGCCTCGGGCTGAGCACTGCTCCCCGCTCTCCCTGGGCAGCCACCGTGGAGCGGGAGATGGAGCTTCGGCACAAGAACGAGATGCTGCGGGTGGAGGCCGAGGCGCGTGCCCGGGCCAAGGCTGAGCGCGACAATGCTGACATCACCCGCGAGCAGATCCGCCTGAAGGCTGCTGAGCAGCGCCAGACCATCCTGGAGTCCATCAGGTGAGGCCGTGCCCAGCGGGCATCCTCTCGCCCCTTCCCCTGAGCAGGCACCCCACTACTCCCCTGGCCGGTCCTTCTGCGGTGACCTTTGGGGCTGACCTTGGAGCCTGGGCTAGGCGCACGGGCACAGCCCGATTCCTTCCCAGTCATGCCACTGCTTCCCCTGCAGGACGGCTGGCACCGTGTTTGGTGAAGGATTCCAGGCCTTTGTGACAGACTGGGACAAAGTGACAGCCACGGTAAACAACGCTGCCGTTTTCCTTGCGGTCTGTGTCACGTGTCGGGGTCTCCGCTGGCTGTGAGAGGCGCCTGGCGCTCTGAGCGTTCACAGACCTACGGCTGAGGCGGTCGCTGCCCCCGCGCCCCTCACTGCCACTGGAAAGCCACAAGTGACGCAGCCTTTGTGTTTGGGGCGCTCGGAACAGCTCAGTGTTGGCCCTGGTGGGGCTGGGAGGAGGGTGTGGGAGGGGTGCCAGGCGTCCGTTTTATCTCCACACCAGTGCCTGCCCTTTGGAAAGGTACTGGTGGGGCCCGGCTGAGACTCAGGGAGCTGGTGGGGGAGCCCCTCTTTTCTGCCGGGGATGGGGTGGGCGCCACCTGCCTCCCCTGCCCTGTTCCAGGTGGCTGGGCTGACGCTGCTGGCCGTCGGCATCTATTCCGCCAAGAACGCCACGTCGGCCATAGGGCGCTACGTGGAGACGCGGCTGGGGAAGCCATCCCTGGTGCGGGAGACCTCTCGAATCACGGTGCTGGAGCTGCTGAGGCACCCTGTGCAGGTGACCGCGGGCCTCCTGGGTCCGTGTGGCCTTACGGCCGAGTCGCACACGTGACCCCTTTTCCCCTTTTTACCCAATACTGCCCTGTTCCCCTGCTCACAGATTTGCATTTGGCTCTCTTTCCTGACGCTATTCCTCTGGTCCTGTGGCGTCAGCACTGGGGGCACCCTCACGCCAGTCTGCTCCGTCCCTCTGTGGGTCTGTGGGCATGACCGTCCCCCTGGGTGGACTGGAGCTTGTATACAAACTTCTGGGGCTCCAGCAAGCCATCTACCCGTAAGATAAGTCGCTGGAAGCAGCCCTGTGTCGGCTGCCTTCCTCGAGGGGAGCCAGGCTTCCTGCCTGGCCTGGGTGCTGTGCACCCACGGGCAGTGCTGTGGGCTGTCGCTAGAGGTCAGTGTCGCCGACAGTCTCCCCTGCCAGCCTTCTGCAGGACAGCTGGTAACGCGTGTTCTGGGGCGGCTGCACCGTGGGCGCCGCCGTTGACCCTGATATCCCCCCGCGCCCCGCAGGTCAGCAGGCGGCTCCTCAGTAAGCCTCAGGACGCATTGGAGGGCGTCGTCCTCAGCGTAAGTGGGGCTGCCTGTCCCTGGGATCTTCCTGCCCGGGCGGGGCTGCTCGGCCTTCCTGGAGTCCGGTTTACTGGCTGAGCCCCAGCCAGGGAGAGGCGGCCTCTCGCACTGACCCAGGCACTCAGGAGGGATGGACTCAGCGGCAGAGCGTCCCCAAACCTCGTGTCCCCTGGCAGCCCAGCCTGGAGGCTCGTGTGCGGGACATCGCCATTGCCACGAGGAACACCAGGAAGAACAGGAGTGTGTACCGGAACATCCTGATGTATGGGCCACCTGGGACGGGCAAGACACTGTTTGCCAAGGTGAGGGCACAGTAGCTGGGGGTTGTAGAGTCTCACCTACCAGGGAGAGGTGCCGTGGGCACATGGGAGGCGGCCCCTGCCCAGCTCTTCCAGGAAGGGCGTCTCCCCACACGCGGTCTGGTCCCCAGCGACCGGGGCGGTGGGCTGGAGGGCAGACGGAGCAGGCGTTAAAGTGCCTTTCCCACCCAGAAACTCGCGCTGCACTCAGGCATGGACTACGCCATCATGACAGGTGGGGATGTGGCCCCCATGGGGCGGGACGGCGTGACCGCCATGCACAAGGTCTTTGACTGGGCCAACACCAGCCGGCGAGGGTGAGCTGGGTGCCTCCTGGGTGGCCCTGGGGCTCCTGCTGGGAAGGGGGGTTGGTGACTTTCCCCACAGCCTGTCCCCAAGGTCCGGGAGCGTCTTGGTCCCAGAGACTTTGTTTTATTTTATTTTTGGCTGCGTTAGGTCTTCGTTGCTGCGCGTGGGCTTTCTCTAGTTGCGGCGAGTGGGGGCTACTCTTCGTTGTGGTGTGCAGGCTTCTCATTGTGGTGGCTTCTCTTGTTGCGGAGCACGGGCTCTAGGCGCATGGGCTTCAGTAGTTGTGGCATGCAGGCTCAGTAGTTGCGGTGCACAGCCTCAGTAGTTGTGGCTCGTGGGCTGTAGGGTGCAGGCTCAGTAGTTGTTGCTCACGGGCTCAGTAGTTGTGGCTCACGGTCTCTAGAGTGCAGGCTCGGTAGTTGTGGCGCATGGGCTTAGTTGCTCCTCGGCATGTGGGATCTTCCCAGACCAGGGCTTGAACCTGTGTCCCCTGCATTGGCTGGCAGATTCTTTTCTTTCCTTTTTTCGTTTTTCTTTAAATCTTACTTATTTATGTATTTATTTTTGGTTGCATCGGGTTTGGGTTAGGGTTAGGGTTAGGGTTGCTGCGTGCGGGCTTACTCTAGTTGCAGTGAGCGGGGGCTACTCTTCATTGCGGTGTGCGGGCTTCTCATTGTGGTGGCTTCTCTTGTTGCGGAGCACGGGCTCTAGGTGCGTGGGCTTCAGTAGTTGTGGCACGTGGGCTCAGTAGTTGTGGCTCATGGGCTCTAGAGCACAGGCTCGGTAGTTGTGGCACACGGGCTTAGTTGCTCCGCGGCATGTGGGATCTTCCCGGACCAGGGCCTGAACCCGTGTCCCCTGCATCGGCAGGCGGATTCTTAACCACTGCGCCACCAGGGAGGCCCAGTCCTGGAGACTTTAAACCGTTTAAGACAAGGGGTCACCAGCCTATTTTTAGTTACTTTCTCGTGACACTGGTACTTCACATGCCCCCGTCTGCGGCCAAGGTCTGGGTACCGGTGGGGGCAGTGCAAAGTTTGGGGTTCCCGCGGGGCCGTGCCCTGCCTGCCTCACGTGGCCCTGCCCTTGCAGCCTCCTGCTCTTCGTGGACGAAGCAGATGCCTTTCTCAGGAAGCGAGCGACTGTGAGTTTCTGGAGGCCGCCCTCTGGCCTGGGGAGCGGGCAGGGCGGGCAGGGAGCTGGCAGGGTGGGCGGCCTGGGCCGCGGTGTCTGCACTTCCTGGGAAGGTCACCGGGAACCTGCTCCTCAGCTGAGCTTTCTTCGTCCATTTTATTTGAAAAGTGGAAGTTCAGCGTCTTTGGAGTCAAGCTTCAGCCTTCGAACTTAGATTCATTCTGTCGTGGGCGAGCGGGGGCTGCGCCTTTCTGCGGAGCCTTTCCTTAGCGCCCCCGTGGCTGCTTATAGAACTCCGGCGTGCGGACCTGACGCCGGATTTTTGTCTCTGCAGGAGAAGATCAGCGAGGACCTCAGGGCCACCCTGAACGCGTTCCTGCACCGGACAGGCCAGCACAGCAGCAAGTGAGGAGAGCCCGTGTGCGGGGCCCGTGGCACTGCGTCAGCTCATGTGGCTGCTGTGGGGCGGCCGCCCGAGCAGGCTCACACCTGACCCACGTGGCCAGACGCAGTGGGACGGCCCGTTGGGCGCCGTGGGGCGTCTGTGGAGCTGTGGAAACAATGTGCTGGGGTCTCTGAGGCAGAGCCGAGGGGCACAGGCTCGTCCACAGGCCACTGCCCTTGGCTCAGGCCCTGGGCATTTCCAGCTGCCCATGAGATGCATTGTCAGGGGCTCACCCCACAGCCAGGGGCCCCAGGTCTCAGGTTGCCCTGGGATTGGGCTGGCCCTTCTGGGCCCCCTAATCCTGCTCCTCCAGGTGGGTGAGGTCCCTCCAGCCCCCTGCCCGCTGGTGGCATCTAGCCCTGCCGGTCAGCCAACGTGGCTACCACGCCAGACTCACTAGCCTTGCCCGCTGCAGCTGCTGCCGGTGGAGACCCTACCCCCACTGAGACCCCCAGGGGCGTGTCGAGTTCCTGCTGAGTTGGCACGTCTGCTTAGCTGAGCCCCAGGCTTCAAGACCCCAGCACTTGGTGTGGGAGGGGCAGGGATCTGTCTCAGACCTGGGTCCCTGGGTCCCCGTCCCTCCTGCACACAGGGAGGCTTCCATGGCTGGGCCACCAGTCGGGGAGAGGCATGAGCTGGGGCAAGACAGGGAGGGATGGGAGGCAGAGGGCAGCGCCGGTGTGGCAGGGTCTCGCGTGTGAGGACGCCGCATGGCGGGTTCTGCTGGCCCCGAGCCCTGAGCTCCCGCCGTGTGCCGGCTGCAGGTTCATGCTGGTCCTGGCCACCAACCAGCCCGAGCAGCTGGACTGGGCCATCAATGACCGCATCGGCGAGATGGTCGGCTTCGAGCTGCCGCGGCGAGAGGCGCGGGAGCGCCTGGTGAGGCTGTATTTTGACAAGTATGTTCTTAAACCAGCCACAGAAGGAAAGCAGTAAGTGTCCCCGCCACCACGGCCGCTCCCCGCCCGTGCCCCTGCCCCTGGGTTTCACGTGTGGGGTCATGATCGCCCATCACTGGAGGCCCTGCTGCCCCGTCCCACCTTTGAAACGCTCAGATCCAGGCCACAGTCAGGCCCTGGCAGTGGCGGGCTGTGCCGGCCCACTTCTGGCCTCGCTGAGCCTCCCTCTGGGGCCCCTCCCCAGCACACGGCGGGGCCCACCAGGCCGGGGGTGCCCTCCTTGCTCGTCCAGGCCCTCTCTCGCTGTTGTCGGGAGCGTTCCAGATAAGCCAGCGCTGGTCTATTTGTAACCCTCTCCGGGGACCAGATCTCAGCCCCACCGACCTGGTTCCCGCCTGGCGCTGCTGAGCCGTCTTCTGTTCTGCGGCGGGCTTTGCCTGCCCCTGCCACCCATCTGACAGCTGCCCCCAAGCTCTCTTATCTGGGTCTCTTTTTCCTTTTGCCCCTGGCTGGCCCCAGTCCCCCACCTCCCCACCCTGCTCCAGCTCCCGATGGCGCATCCTAGCCCAGCTGCAGCCTGGACACTGCGTGCAGCCTGAGGTTCTGAGCACTTTTTCACAGGAGTCTGAGCGGGCTCTCTTGGGCCTTCAGCCAGGCTTGACTGGGCCTGGCATCCGCCTGCGGGGGCGGGATTAGGAGCTCGGCCGCTGTCTGAGTGCTGGGCGGGGTCCCTGCCCCCAGGCAGGCGGTGGAGCTGGGAACAGGCCCCCGGAGCTCCTCCGTTCTCCCACATCCTGAACGGCCCCACGGCCGCCCCTAAGCCCAGCATGTGCCCCACCCAGGCCCCGTCTTGGGCTCCACGAAGAAGGAACATTTGCCCAGCAGGGTAGGAAGGTGGAACAGCCAGACCTGGCCCCAGCAGTGGACGTTGGGCAGGGGGTAGCTCATTAAAGTGAGGGGGTCGGACGTGTCCCGCCTGGGGTTTCCCAGCACAGGCTCCTGCTCTCCGTCTGTGTGGGAGCCTGGGTCCCTCACGGGCCTCTGCCCTGGCCCGGGTCCTGTGGGCGCCCAGGCATCACTTGGGAATTCTTTACCAGGCGCTTGAAGCTGGCCCAGTTTGACTACGGGAAGAAGTGCTCAGAGATCGCACAGCTGACAGAGGGCATGTCGGGCCGGGAGATCTCCCAGCTTGCTGTGGCGTGGCAGGTGAGCTGGGGATGCGCCCCGCAGGCCAGAGCCCGACCAAGCCAGGGACCCTCAGAGTTGTCGAAAGGTGACTGGGCTGGCACCTGCACCTCCCCCCCACCAGGGTGTTTCTGAGTGATTTTCTGCACAGACGTGACATGATGCCCTCCCTTCCCGCCACCACCCTCTGCCCCCCGCAGCAGGGAGGATGGGCCAGGGCCGTCCGTGGCTTCGCGCGTTATGGTCCTTCCCAGTGTCATTCTGGCCCAGGTCAGGCGTGGCCCTCTCAAATCAGCAGTGTGTCCGGTGGTCATCAAGCTCAGGGTCTTAGGAACCTGGGCTTTGTCCCAAGCTGGGGCCCAGGATAGTTGGCACAGCAAACTGCAGACGGGTGGAGGGTCCGGGGGACACTGCCTGGGCCAGGGATGGAGCATGCCCGAGGGCGCAGAACGTGAGGAGCCAGGAGGCGACTGACCTCATAAGGAGTCGGGCGTTGCCTTCCCAGCCCCTAGAGGCAGACTGCTGCTTTCGGGACTGTCTGCGGGGGCGTGAAGGCCTCAGGCGTTCTGGCTTTTTGGATGGGTTTGCTGAGTCCTGAGGGCCTGAGGACAGCTGGACCACGGGAGGTGATTCCATCTTCACCTTGTGGCTCAGGGCACACAGGCCAGAGTGGCCCTTGTCATTCCCAATAGCCAGGCTTTCATCTGAAACATCCCAGCAGTGGTTCCACGGGTGCCCAGGGCAGGGAAGCCCATTGACTCCCAGGAGCCTTGGGTGCAGCCATTCAGAACAAGTTTCCCCATGGTCCTTGCCAGGTGGAGGGTGCTGAGTGGCTCATGTGTGTGGCCACGTGACAACCTGGCCACTGTTAACTTAGCACGAATGCTACGTAGACATCTGCTTGGATTTGAGCATCCTTGCCCAGATACACAGGGGGGCTGTATTAGTCAGAATGAACTAGGTCATGCTGCTGTAACGGACAGCCCCAGATTGCAAACTCTGTCCTCATGTGAGTCACAGGGTGCCCTGCTCCAGGCTGGCCTCACTCAGGAACCAGGCCTCACGAGGTTGGCTGTTTCCACGACCAACAGAGTGGCGAACAGGGTGTCTTAGCCTGGGCGGCCGTGACAAAATGCCACAGCCAGGCGCTTGAACAGACATTCATCTCATGGTTCTGGAGGCTGGAGGTACCAAATCAGGATGCCAGTGAGGGGGCTTCCAATGCGGGTCCGCTTCCTGGCTGCCTTCCAGCCGCTTTCTTGCTGTGTGCTTGTGCAGAGCCCTTGGGGGTATCTTCGTACAAGGACGCCCTTGTACGTCGAGCTCAGGTTGGGCGAGCTCATGACCTCGCCCAACCTGAATCGCTTCCTTAGAAGCCCCATCTCCACGTGCAGCCACACTGGGGGTCAGGGCTTCAGTGTGAACTGGGGGGCGACAAAGGCTCAGTCCCAGTGGCGCCCAGTCCCAGTGGTGGGGAGCGCCCTGGCGCACCTCCCCTCCCCCGCCCTGCCCTGCCCTCCCTGCTCGTTGGGGAACCAGGGGACAGGCCTGTGTGTGCCTGCGTGTGGGGAGCTGAGGATAGTGGCCCCCGCACGCGCATGTGAGGGTGAGCGTTTGCGTGTGGAGGCCCAGAGCCCGTGGCTGCACTCCCTGTGTGTCCAGCCCCTGGGCAGCCGGGCCCTGGGCACGTCTGCTAGTCCCCACCCCCACCCCCTGTGAGAGAGGGCCAGAATGCCTTGGGGGTCCCACCGTCTGGGACAGGACATGTCAGTGTGTCCCCTTGGAGTTTCTCCCCTGTGGCCCCAGGTGCATGGGGCTGGGCCACTGTGGTGGCTCCTGCCCACCCTCCTCCCTCCAGGCTGAGCAGCCGGGGACCTGTGCACCTGCTCCCCGAAGCCCACCTGCTGGTGTCGCATGGACCCCGCTGCAGCTGCCACCCCCGTGCGATGGTTTTGTCAGTGCAGGTCCGTGCTTCTCACCCTGCAGCTACCTATCATGGGGACCTACTGTTTTTTTTTTTTAAACATAAAACTCATTATTTTAACTTTTTTTTTTTTTTTTTTGCGGTACGCGGGCCTCTCACTGTTGTGGCCTCTCCCGTTGCGGAGCACAGGCTCTGGACGCGCAGGCTCAGCGGCCATGGCGCACTGGCCCTGCCGCTCCGCGGCATGTGGGATCTTCCTGGACCGGGGCACGAACCCGTGTCCCCTGCATCGGCAGGCGGACTCTCAACCACTGCGCCACCAGGGAAGCCCTGGTTTCTGTTTTTTGGTAGTGGCCATCCTGATGGGTGTGAGGTGGTGTCTCGCTGTGCTGTTGACTTGCGCTCCCTGATGATCAGTGATGCTGAGCATCTTGTCGTGAGCCTGTTGGCCATGCGTGTGACTTCCTCTGAGAAAGGTCTGTTCGAGTCCTTTGACCTTTTTTTAACTGGGTTGTTTGAGGTTTTCTTGTTGAATTGTAGGGGTTCTTTATTCTGGATATTAACTTTGTCTCAGATAGTAGTTTGCAAACATTTTCCTCTTTTCTGCGGGTTGCCTTTTTTACTCTGTTGATAGTGTCCTTTGAAGCACAAAAGTTTTTAATTTTGATGAAGTCCAATATTTTTTTTTTTTCTTTTGTCAGCTGCTTTTACTGTCATAGCCAACAAGTCATTGCTAAATACAATGTCTGGAAGCTTCTCCCATCTGTTTTTATCTATGAGGTTTATAGTTTGAGGTCTTATGGTTAGATCTCTGATCCATTTAGAGTTGATTTTTGTATATAGGGTACAACTTTGTTCTTCTGTATATGAATATCCAGTTTTCCTAGCGCCACTTGTTGAAAAGACTGTCGTTTCCATTCAGTGATCTCAGCATCCTTGTTGGAGGTCACTTGACCATATGTGAGGGTTTATTTCTGGGCTCTTTGTTCTATTCCACTGGCCTGTGTCTGTCTTAGTGCCAGTACCACACTGTCTTGATCACAGTAGCTTTGTAGTAGATTTTAAAACCGGGATATGGGAGACTTCCAACATATTCTTATTGAAGATTGTTCTGGCTGTTTGGGGCCCCGTGAGATTGCATATGAATTTTGGGGTGGATTTTTTGTGTGTTAATTTCTGCAAAAAACATCATTGAAATTTTGATAGGGATTGCATTGAATCTGTAGATTGCGTTGGGTAGTACTGACCTCATAACAACGTTGTCTTCCAATGCATGAACGCAGATATTTTTCTGTGTTTTCATGTCCTTAATTCTAGCAAAATTCAGTGTACAAGGCTTTCACCTTCTTAGGTAAGGTAATTCCTAAGTATTTTATTCTTTTCGATGGTGTTGTAAATAGAATTGTTTTCTTAATTACTTTGCCAATTATTCAGTGTTACTGTGTAGAGACACAAATGATTTTGTGCATTACTTTTGTGTCTAGCAACTTTGCTGAATTTATTACTTCGGATTTACTATATATGATAAGATCATATCACCTGCAGACAGTTAATTTTACTTCTTCCTTTCCAGTCTGGATGTCTTTTCTTTTTTCTGCCTGATTGATCTGTCTACAATCTCTAGTGCTCTGTTGACTAGAAGTGGTGAAAACGGGCATCCTTGCCTTGATCCTGATCTCAGAGGAAAAGCTTTCAGTCTCTCACCACTGAGACGACGTTTGCTGATGTTTTCTTATCTGGCTTTCATCAGGATGAGGAAATTTCCTCGTATTCCTAGTTTACTGTTTGTTTGGCTGTGCTGCACGGCTTGCGGGATCTTAGTTCCCTGACCAGGGATCATGCCTGGGCCCTCGGCAGTGAAAGTGTGGAGTCCTAACCCCTGGCCTGCCAGGGAATTCCCCCTCATTTATTGTTTTCATCAAGAAAGGGTGTTGATTTTTGCCAAATGTTTTCCTGTATTAATTGAGACAATCAAGTGCTTTTTGTCCTTCATTCTCTTAATTACTTACCTAGGTTGATTTTTCCCTAGGTGAACCATCCTTGCACTCCAGGGAAAAAAAGCCCACGTGGTTGCGGCGTATAATCCTTTCAACACGCTACCGAGTTTGGTTGTTAGTATTTCATTGAGCGTTTTGCATCAGTTTTCACAGAGGGTCTGGTTCTGTGTGGTGTTTTGTCTGGTTTTGGTATCAGGGTGATGCTGACCTCAGAGTGAGTAGGAAGTGTTTCTTCCTCTCCAGTGCTTGGAAGAGTTTGAGAAGGATGGGTGTTAGCTCTCCTTTAAGCTTTTTTTCAGCGAATTTTTTTGTTTTTGAATAATTCCAGGTTCACAGAAAAGTCGCAAAGGTAGCACAGCTCCCTCCACACTGGCCGTCTCACCACATCCCTCAATTCCACCTCAGACGTGATCTCTCCCAGAACCCACCCAAATGCCCATGACATTCAGTCCTCCTGTCTCGGGCTTCTCTGGGCTGTGACAGTTCTCAGGCGTCCCTTGTTTCTGACGATTCCGGCAGTTTTGAGGAGTCCTGTAGGACGTCCCTCGTTGGGTCTGTCTGATGGCTTTCTCATGAGTGGAATGGGATTGTGGGTTTTTGGAGGAAACCAGAGGTGAGGGCCCCTTCTGGTCACATCGTATCAGGGGGCACCAGACATCCACACGACATCACAGGGATGTTGGCCTGGATCCCCTGGTGTCCGTGGTGCCCACCTGGCTTCTCCGTGGTAAAGTCGCTGCACACCCTCTACCTGCCCCTCCCCATCAGGGACCCCCTCTGGCTGCCACCCCACCTCCTCAGCTGCTTTGCAGAACTCGGGCTCCTCGCAGGAGGCCTCAGGGACGGCCCTTCCCTCTGCAGCTTCAGCCAGGCGCTGAGAATAGCCGTGTGGGGAGCAAAGTGACTGGTCATCTCGGATGGTGGGAACTTGCTCCCTGTGTCCTGCGTGGGCTGAGGCTCCTAGGGACCTAGAGAGAAACAGCTGGACTGGCTTGGGCTCCCTGCTCGGTGGACACTTGAGTGCACATGTCAGAGCCACAGCTGGGTGACAGGAAGCAGCTGGGGCCCGGGGTCACCCAGGAGGCACGCAGCCTGGCCAGAGGAGACCTGCCTTGGCAGCTGAAGTGCTGTGGCCCACGCTGGGGCCCGGTGAGCCGAACTGTGGTCACCCCGCCCACGTGCATGGCCTGGGAACCTGGGCATCGCGGGTGCAGAGCACCGCCGGCAGCCCGGACCACGGCAGCCTGCGGTTCTGGGAGGACCGTCTGCAGACAGTGGGGCCCCGAGCGCTCTGCGTGGAGGGCAGTTTGGCCCCGGGGGCTCTGCCTCTCCTGGTGTCTGCGTGGCCTGTGGTGGTTCTGTTGGCTGCTCGTTGGCCCTGAACCCTGCTGTCCACGGGGCAGGGCCCTCCGGTCTGCGGTTGAGGGCTGGGTTGCCCCCTGACAGCGGGCCTCTGGGTTTCTTTTCTTCGAAAGCCACTGAGAAAGCCAGTGGAGCAGCCAGCACTGGCACCAGCCGGGGGCGCGGGCAGGGCCCCGGGTTTTGCAGGGATGGCAGCTGCTCTGGGCTGCAGGGTCGCCTGCGAGCACGTGTGTGCTGCCGCATGTCGGCGTGCGCCTCATGCTGAGCGGCCAGGCCCCTCCTGCAGCTGAGCGCAGGCCCGGGAGAGCAGCCCACGCTTTGCCCCACCTGCCCCTGCCCCAGAGGAGTTGGGTTCTGGGCGGCGAGTGCAGCAAGGATGGGTCTGGCCAGGCTGCCTTGTCCCTGGGTCAGGCCTGGCCTGCACGGGTGAGTGGTGACTGGTGGGCCCTGAGGAGCCTCAGGCTGAGGCCCTTCCCCCACGCGGGCAGCCCCTGTGCTGCCCTGCCTCAGTGCTCTCTTCCCCTGCCAGGCCATGGCGTATGCCTCTGAGGATGGGGTCCTCACCGAGGCCATGATGGACGCCCGGGTCCAGGATGCCATCCAGCAGCACAAGCAGAAGATGCAGTGGCTGAAGGCAGAGGGGAGCCGGCCCCTGCTCCCAAGTTCACAGGCCGAGTGAGCCGGGCCTGGACACCTGCAGCACGCTGACCAGGTGCCCCAGCTCCCAGCGGACGTGGTGACACCACACAGCCGCCCCCCTCCCGGCGTGTGTAACCTTCCACTGGTCAGGCCCAGGGCGGCAGGGCAGCATTAAAGGCCTCTGCTCAGGACCAGCTGCGCGGTGCAGCCTTGAGGTGGGGTTGGTTCCCCTGACCCCGCAGCTGCCCCCAGGACACTCCTGGGAGACATGTCCCTCCAAGCCCGGCCCAGACAGGGAGCAGGCACTGTCCGCCATGCCCGGGGCAGCGGCCAAGCTGGCAGCACAGCGTCCCAGGCAGATGCTGGCTGCTGCAGCAGTGACCAGCAGTAGGGGGCCCGGCCAAGGACCTGACCTTGCCCAGTCCCTCCCAGGGCCAGACCCGAGCCCATGATGAGCAGAGCTGACCTCTGTGCAGCCCAGCTGTCCTCGGGAGGGCAGTGCCCTTGAGGTCTGTGAACCCATAAAGCCGGGTGCCAAGAACCAGCCCAGCGACCCGCGATGGCCAAGGATGTGTGGAGCGGGGGTACTGCCAGCCCACAGAAGGCGAAGTTCTCCCGGATTGGAATTGGGGGTCTTTTTATCCAGAATCTAATAAAAACTGACAGATACGTCTCAGTGTCTGTCTCATGGCTGATGTGCGGATCCCTGGGGCAGGGGCAAAAAGAAGAGGCAGAGGCTGGAGCTTTCTAGAGAATTTACTGACCAGCAGGGGTGGGAGTCACAGTGAGGCGCCCGACCCGGGCTGCCGCCGCGGGGCTCAGAAGCCTTATTGCTGGGCCCGGGCCTCCCCCGGACCCCTGCCCGCGCCCCCACTGCGGGCCGCGGGCGCACACGCCCCATGCACGTGCCCCCGTGTGCAGACGTGGGCGCACCCGGCTCCCGGCCGTGCTCGCCTCCGGCAGAACTGGCTCTGGCTCCGGAAACCAGACGGACGGACGGAGAGACAGACGCGGGCGCACAGGAAGCCGCCGGTTTCCAGCGGCGGACGTGGTCCTGGGCTGGGCGGGCGGTCCCACCCGCGCCCCCGGTGCCGCTGTCCCCGCGCCCCCGCCCCGGCCCCACCCCGACCCCCTTTATAAAAAGAAGAGGAGACAGCACCTTCCGCCGGACGCGCCCGATGGCCGCGGGCGCCCTGGCCCGGGCCGGCCGTCCAGTCCCGTGAGCGTGGGCGCGGTGGCCGGCGGCCCCGCGAGTCCTGAGCGCGGCTCAGAGGTGCCGCGGGCTCGGGTGACCGTTGTGGTAGAGTTTCTGCTTCACATGCACCATGTTCCCGGCCGCCTCCTCGAACGGCCTGTGTGGCCGCCGGCCCAGCTCCCGCAGGCTGCACAGCTTGGGCAGCCAGGTCCACGAGCCGTCTGCGGGGCGGGGGGCGCGGTCAGGGCGTGGGCTGGTGGGCGGGGCCGGGAGTGGGCATGGCGTGGGCGTGGGAGAGGGCGTGGCCCCGGCGCGGACGAGGCTGTCTCCGGGTCCCCGCGCCGCGCACTCACCGTAGCGCCGGCCCGCCCTCCAGGCGCGCACGGCGCAGTGCAGGACGCCGTCCATCCACACCAGGAACCAGCTGATGCAGAAGCCGAGCAGCAGCCCCAGCATGAGGTCGATCTCCTGCTTGGTGACGTTGTCTGTCACGAAGTAGTTCTCGGAGGCGTCCACCACAGACTGGTCCCCGTCGTACGGGATCACGTAGTGGACGTGGTGCCTGGGGGCGGCAGGGCGGGCTGGCACCTGTCCCGCGGGGCGGGCAAGCTGCACCCGTTTGCCTGCAGGGGTCTTTGAAGCAGACCTTGTGGGGTGCTGAGGTCGGGAGGGGCCAGCGCACTCGCCCAGGACCCGGGTCACCAGGTGGGAGGCTGCCCGCAGGATGGGAGTGTGCGAGGTCATAGGTCAGCGTGAAGTCCAGTGGCTGGCCTCCACGCATCACCCTCGTCCCTCTGCCCAGCCCGGGGCTCAGAGGCAACCCTGACACGGTGACAGGAGCACAGCGCAGGTGGAGAAGGCGTACCGGGGCGAGGGCCCAGGCGGGGTGCCCCCGCCCAGTGACAGGGTCACAGCCCGCCCGTGGGCCTGTGCCCAGAGGCCCCCACTGGCTCCTGGGGCACTGCCCCTCTGGCCTCTCCCTCCCACCCTGCAGTCACTCCGCCCTTTCCTCAGCTTCCCCTCCAAGGAAAGCCGCGTGGGATGAGCCCTGCCTTGGGCCTCTGGTCTTCCTTTTGCCCCTCTGTCCCTTGCAGGAACCTCCCCTGCCCCAGTTCTCTGTGCTTGAGGCCCGGGGGCACCCCCTTAACCGTGCCCCACACAGATCCCAGGTCCTGGGACAGACCCTGGACCATGGTCTGTCCCCTGCATCCCAGCACCCACTGAGGCCTGGGCCGTTCCCCTCAGCCTCCCCTCCCTTGACAATCCAGGCGGAGGCCACACTGAACCCTCCCCACAAGGCTCCCTCTAGCCTCAGGCCTGCCTGGATCCTCTCTTCCTCCAGGAAGCCCTTTGGGCCCCACGATCCCGGGTTGGGTGGCCCTGCCCAGAGACCAGTACCCAGGGCAACAGACTCTGGGCTCCACGCCCCCCCCCCACCGACAGGAGGGCCGGGGAGAAGAAGCTACAGGACCTGGGTGCCCGAGGCATGTGGGGTCCGTGCACCCTGAGCCCCCAGTCACCCTGGGGCCCCTCCTTCCCCGAAGTGCAGGAGCCACCTTGGGGTGCGCCTGCCTGGCTCCCCTCCTACCGAGCCCCTCAGCTGGCTTCTCCAACTCTCCACCCCCAGCACGTCCCCGCGGCACCCCACGTCTGCTCTGAGCTCCAGCTGCCTGCATGGCGTCTCCACGTGGGATCTACAGACACCTCAAATTTGCACCTAAAAATAGCTCCTCCCTCCCCAACCTGCTTCTCCCCATCTTCCCTCGGTTACATGTCGACACCTCTGCCTGGTCTCCAGCTGAGATGGGTCCCCGTCCCCCCCTCTCAACTGAACATGAGCCACCCTCCCCGGCCCCCCAGGGACCTCCTCACAAACGGAAACCCCCCAGGACATCCCTGACCCCAGGCCCCTGTTGCCCGTCCATCACCGACATCCCTGTGCCAGTGGGGGCCACACAGTGCTCTCCACCCCGTGGAGACAGCAGCGGGCAGGCCCCATGTTACCCCCCTCCCGCTCCCCTGGGGACTCCTGGAGCCCATCTGGCTCAGCTTGTCCAGAGTAGGTGGGGCCTCAGCCACCACGGCCCCTGGAGCAGGGACCACCACACCTGGGTTAGTTGGAGAGGACTGCCTGACACATGGTGGCGGCCGTAGCTCATGTGGCCACAGCTCGCCAATGGCCCTCATCAATCATCAATAGGAGATGGAGAACCACTGCTGAGCGCCCGGAATGCGTAGCAGCAGAGGACGCCCTTCGTCACCCTGGCCAGGCCAGGCCTCCAGCAGCTGATAACACTGAGCGTCGCCGCCATCTCCTGCCCTCCTGCCTTCCGGACCCCGACAGGGAGGGTCTTCCTCGGGACCACGACTTCCTACCCCTGGACAGGGCAGGAAACTTGAAGATGGAGTCACCGAGGAAGCCAGAAATGCCCCTGCAAGTAGGACAAGGCCAGGGCCCCGACTGCCCCGGGGGTGGGGGGTGGGGTGGGGACCTCCAGGGGGTCAAAGGTCATGACCTGTCCTAGCACCTGCCGCTCTTCCCCTGCTCCTTGCCCTCCTCCTTCCTCCAAGTCAGGCAGGCCCCGGGGTGGGGGGGGGGCAGGTGGGGGCTCAGGTCACCCACGTGCACACGTATTTCCGTGATGTGTACATACATGTGTCCTGCCTGGGCCACGCATGTTGCATGTGTCTACCTGAGGTCGGACGCATGTTGTGTATACACGCCGGCCACATGCACAGGACATGGCGTGTATACCATGGACTCGGCCCATGAGCTCCACATGTGTGCATGTGCACGCTCGCCCAGGCACGAGCACGGTGCGTGTCACATGGAGATGCACATGCACTGGGCTTTGCGCACAGCCATCCTCTCTGTGGGCACCGTGGCATATGCACGGGTGTGCACCCACAGACACAGCCTGCTGGCACGCACGCTTCACAGCATTTACACACGTGTCCTCTGTATAAAATTCTCCGTATCGGCATGTAGAAGGCACACAAGTGTGTGTGCGCCTTCTCTGCAAACGGGGTGTACACACAAGTAGAGTCCGTTGTGGCAACATGTGTACATGGTTTGTACACAGAGGCCTGATATGCCAGACTGTACCCTGCAGACATTCACTGTGCCCACAGGGCGCACATGGGTGCTGTATATTGTGTTACACACATGTACTGCGCATACACATGCATGTTGTCAATATACAAGAATACTTTGTACACGGAATTTACACATCCTGTATGTAGTGATGTGTACAAAGCACACATACATGGACACACACACACACGGAAACACTCTACGCCTACAGCAGGCGTGGCTCTCGTGTTGTCTGTGTCTAAGCTGTGCACTCAGGCCTCGCTGTGGCTTGCACTCCATGGGCACTTGTTTTACACAATCCACGTGTACTCTGGACACTACATATGACCCATACACATCCCCGGAGCAAATACACTCTGAAAACACACCCTGTCTGCCCAAAAGGGCCTCAGTGTGAGGTCTTAGGCACACATGTGCAGGTCACACTGCGACAGCCCTGCACGGAAAATGGGCCTCACTAATGTTTAGGGAGCTGAACCCTGGGCCGGTGGCGGGCACACCTCCGGTCTCCGGGAGGGTCTCAGGACCCCCGCTCACACCCCCAGGCTGGGTCGGCCCAGGGAGCGTGGAGCTGACCTCCTGCCGCTCCTTGGCCTTGGGCCGTGCGCACCAGGCAGGAACACGCGGATCTCCGCGAGGGTGTGGCCACCCAGCCAGCACTCCGGATGATTCCTGGCCAACACTCGTGAGGGCCGTTTACACGCCCATCTCCATCTGCCCTGCTGCCCATGTTCTGCTTCGACACCCGGTCTGCACACACAGGCATGTAGCATGCTTAGTGAGGCATGAAACTGTCCTGTCTCTCACACACCCCTCGCCCAGTACGTGTGCACACGTCCCTGGAGCAGCAGCACAGGGCAGGGTCAAGAGCACGAGTTCCCTGCCGGCCGCATGGCCCTGGGCAAGTCTGTCTGCTCAGCCTCTGTCCGCTCTCTCGGGGGCCCCAGCGTGCGTGGGGCTGAGGGGCTGCTGCGTGTGCGCACATGTATATGCACAGACGGTACACACATGCGCGTCTCATGAGAAGATGTTTATTTCGTACATGGACATACAAACATGCATGGCCAGGAAGACTCCATCACTACATGTGCACAGAATGGGGGGGGTCACAAAGTGGGTGTAGGGACCTGGGCTCTCCCCTCTGTCTGTGTGACCTTGAGCGGACTCCACCCCCGGCCTCAGTTCCTCCCGTGGACAGCGAGGGGGTTGGGCCAGATGCCCCTCAAGGTAGGCCCTGCCCACCTTGACCTTCTGCTCTTCCCCCTAGCTGGCTCCCAGGACATTTCATGGACACAGCTCAGGGCCCAGGGAGGAGGATGGTGTCCTCTGTGGGCATAGCCGTGCGCAGGATCCCTCCCGGGACACCAGGCTGGGCTGCTGCTCTCCTGGTCTCCACGCCCCGGGCCAGGAGGCCCTGGACCCGTTCTGCCCGTCACCCGCGGGCCCTTTCTCTAAAGGCAATTTGGGAGGGGGTCCTACTGCCTCGGGCATGCTCCCCACTCCCGGAACACCTCTGTGCCACGGAAGCTGGCCGGTCCTTCCCCCACCCGGCCTGGCGCCAGCCTCAGCAGCCCCCACCGGCCTGGCCCAGCTGGGCCTTGCAGCCCGGCCTGCATGGCGCTCGCTGGAGCCCCAGTGGGCCCCACCTCCACCCCACATGTGTGATCACGCGTGTGCCCCTCTGGGCGCAGACTCACCGGCCACAGTTGCAGTGGCAGACGCGGTCCTCGCCCCGCAGGTGCGGGAGGATGTAGTTGTGGAATCGGTCCAGCAGCGCGTTCATGTCCATCAAGCACGCGATGGCCTGGAAGAGCCCATGACCGGTCAGCGCCGAGGAGCGAGAGGCTGGGCCGGCGCCCCCCGGCGGGGGCCGACGCGCTGGGGATGGGGGAGCGCAGGCCGCCCAGGCCGGTAAACAAGGCGCGGGAGGGGGAGGCGGCGCGCGGGCGCGGAGGCGGGAGCGGGTGCGGGGAGCGGGCGCGCGGGAAGCCCCTCCGCTCACCATCACGATCGACGCCCCCAGAATCATGAAGATCATGGTGTTGGCGCTCATGGACATCGGGCGGGGCCGGGCCGGGCCGGAGCGCCGCCCCCCGGCCCCGGCGCCCCCCCGGCCCCGGCCCGATGCTGAGCCCCCGCCGCCTCTGCAGAGGTCAGCCCGCCGCGCACCCACCGCCGCCGGCCGGGGAGGAGACGCGGGGCCGGCGCGGGGCAGGGGACGCGGCGCTCCCGGGGTCCTCGGCCGCCCGGCCCGCGCGCTCGCCGCGCCCGCCGCGCTCCGCTCCGCCCTCGGCTCTGCCTCCCGCTCTGCGCGCGGCGCGGCTCCGGCCCCCTCCCCCCGCGGCCTCCCCCGCGCCCGCCTCCCGGGAGGGACCTCGCCGCCCGCGGCCGCTCGCCCCCGCGACGCCGGCCGGACCCCTCCCCGGGGGCCGCAGGGCCCGCTCGCCCCCATCTGGCCAGTGCCGGCCCTGGCTGCCTGCCCAGCGCCCCTGGACCACGGGCCGCGTCCCGTCCCGACCCGCCGGGGCGATCCCGGAGAGGCCCCGGGCTTCCTTCCGCTCTCCTCCTCCCCACTTCTCAGCTGGAGGCCCCTCCTCCCCGCCCGCCCGGGGTCGCCGGGTGAGGGGCTGCGGGCAGACTGGTCAGCACCCAGCCTCCTCCGGCAAGAGGCTGCCTTTAGCGGAGGGGCCGCAGGGTCCCTGCCAGGGAGGTCACTCCGGAGCCATGGCCACATGGCACAAGGATGGGGCCCAACAAAGGCTAAAGGATCCCCTACTGCGGGGGCAGGGCCAGCCTCAGCCCCGGCTCTCCTCAGGGGTGGGCCACGAAGCTCAGAGGCCCGCGTCGTAGCCCTGATGTGGCTGCCCCATGTTGCTGGGGGCTGGGGAGGGGTCATTGAGCCAGCCCACCATCCACAGGCAGGGGGACAGCACTGCCCACAGAGGAGTCCCCGGAACACCTCTGTGCCACGGAGACCAGGAGGGGTCACCAGGCAAGAGCGGTCCCCGCCCAGGGAGCAGGTGCCACATCCCTCCAGAGTCCCAGTGGACGGGAGGCCCTCGGGGTGGTGCTAGAGAGCTCAGCTTGACCCACAGGCCCGGACTGCCGTCTGAGGACCCTGACGGGAGGTCCAGGCCAGGCAGGGTACTCTGGATGAAGCCAGGACGACCAGCAACATCTACTGATGAGACAATGGCAGGTTCTTTCCCAAAAAGTACAGCCTGTTGCTTTATTCAGGGATTTGTACATTGCAGCCAGTTAGGGGAGACGGGAAAGGGGTGCTCAGTGAGAGGCAGATGGCTGGGGGGAAATGTGCTATCAACCGTTTTTTTCTTTTTTGGTTAAAGAAAAAAAACTATAATCAATATCCCACTCATAAGTAAAAGTGGGATGGGAAACACTTGATTGTAATCTGGCATTTATGTATATCTTCTCATTTCATATGTACAGTTTATTTGGGCACTGCTACCGTCCGGTCCATCGGCAGAATACCTAAAGGTAAAAACAAATATCAGGAAGGAAGAAGTATTAACAAAAGGAAGCTCAGCAAGGTGGCTCCAGGCGGGCGGGGGCCATCAGTAGAAGCAGACGGTGTGCAGGAAGGTCCTGCCGCTCTTCTCCTCAAACTCCTGCAGCAGCTCGTCAATCTCGTTCTCCATGTCCTCCGTGTGCTGGATCTGGAGCCAGAGGAGAGCCGCCCTGAGCCGCCGGCGCCCAACAGGCAGCCCCACCCCGCCCCGGCCTGGTGCCGCCCGTGCGTGCGGGGCGGGGCGGAGGGGAGCCCGACAGGGACGGGACACGGAGCGGCTGCAGCAGGGCGGGTGGCCTCAGATGCCACACATACGCGCACTGCAGACGCTCGCCGCCTGCACTGCCCCCACCCTGAAAATGAGCAGACCCGACCCAGACAGTACCGTCGCGGGCCCGGTCAGCCAGCAAGGAAGCCCAGGGGCCGTCCCGTGCACTGTAGCGGGTTAAGCAGCGCCTGTGGCCCCCACCCGCCAGCTGCCACTAGCGTCTCTCCCGGCTGTGAGGCCCACCGTGTGTGCGGTTAGATGTCCCCTGGTGGAGAACCGCCGCCCTGGAAGGAGGCGGCCCTGCCAGGGGACAGCCCCAGGGTGGTCCGGGGCCAGCTCCTCAGCCCGCCTGTCCTGGCAGGGGCTGGCCTGCGGCCGAGGCCCCTCGCTGCCCCCCGTCTCGGCCTGTGAGCAGTGCCTCTCCTCTGCAAGCTCTCGCCAGCCCGACCCAAGTGGCTGTCACGTGCGCTATTTCTGGGGCGTGTCGGCCCCTTCAGCCCTGTCTTTTGCCTGATGGCCAGACCATGGGAACAACTGCTGCAGCTTCAGCAGCCACCCTGGACCATGAGACACCTTGGGAACAGAAGCTGTGCCGGGCAAAGTAACGAGAGAGCAGGGGCCTGGGCCCCTCACACAGCAAACCCGTCCAGGCCTGCCTGTCTCCAGACTTCTTGGTTAAGCCTCGTTTTCTTCACTTTTCTATCACTCACAGTTAGTTGGCCTAAATGCAGAAGCCACAGGCCAAAGATATGACCAGACATATGAGTTGGGTCGGTCCTTTTGTCCCATCTAAGAGGAAACGTTTGGCTCTGAGCACAGCTGCACAGTGGCTGCAAAGCTCTTGGGGTTTCCTGTACAAGGGAAGATGCCCAGGGCCACTCGGGGAGGGCTGGACGTCTGGAATGAGAAGTGCGGGGGCAGAGAGGACCAGAGCCCTTTGACGCCATCTCTGGGGGCTCCCGGGCTCCTCTAGCTGTTTGGGGTCTTGGCAGGGGGCCTAAGTCCTGGGAGCCATCTCCACAGAAGCCAGACCCCGGCAGGTCACTCACCCCTGCAATCAACCTAAAACGCTCAAAGGTGGATTCTTTAGCCAGAGCTGACTCGGTGACTCTCACCTGTGGGCACCTCTGCATTTATGGGTTTTAACGTTTGGCAGTAAGCGGACCGTGAACCGAGCGGTGTGCTCGTCACGTTCATGCTGAAGCCCTTGTGTGCACGACGCAGGCCCGCCCAGGGCCCGATACTCACGCACTGGCAGAGCTCACAGATGAGGAACGCCCCCAGGGTGGCCTCTTCGTGGTTGTCCTGGATGTCCACGTTGATCACATGCACAGGCTGGCACGTCTCCTGCTCCCTAGAATTCAGATCTGACCGTGACAAGAGGACGGAAGTCAGAGGCCTCAGAACAGAGCGCAGGAGGCTGTGCGCTGCCCAGCCTTCCTTCGGGGATGCAGTTAAGGACCAACATCAGAGCATCTGACCAGGCTGAGCACTCCCCCCCACCCCCAACCCCGGGAGGAGCCTCACGCCAAATACGGCTGGGACCGCAGGAAAGCTCGCGCTCACGAAGCTGGACCCCAGGCCACCTGGTCACACCTGCCAACTCCAGCCTGTCCCACGGGACAGCAGCTGACAGCACCCTCACTTACAAAGCACCAGGCCCTAGTCCCTCTGCACCACACGTGCTCTTGCTGTGCCACAAAGGCCCTGAACCCGCACTGTGCTGTTGGCTGGCACAGGTGGTTTTGCCCTGGTGAACACGGTCAGCCCCAAGGCCACCATCTCCTGCCCCCACCCCCTCCCAGGGCCCACACAGGTCAGGGGCCCTCTGTCTACCTCTCTGTGGCCTTGCCCCATTTCCCCCGCCTGCCGGAGCCCACAGACGCACCGGGAACCCTTCTCCAGCCCTGGGCCAGGAACAGACACCACGCACAGGACGGCCCGGCTGCCTCAGAGGCGCTGGACGCACAGCAGGACAGAGGGCACGGCACAGGGCCTGGCGCTGCAGCTGTTGCGCTTACCTTCCACCACCTGGTCGTACACCCGCTCTTCACAGGTGAGGATCAGATCAAACAGATCTTTGCAGTTCTGGAACCTTTCTGGCCGGGGCTTGATCCTCTTATTTCTGTCCAGCATGTGTAAAATGCCATTCTGCGTGTAGCTGAGTGCCCGAGTTAAGGAACTCTGGATAAAGGCCCCGCTCCCCCCCAGCATCCGCGTAGGCGCAGCCACCCGCGCCCCCCGCCCCCAGCAGGAGCATCAGGGCGACGGAGGCACGTCGGGGCAGGCTGGGCCGCAATCCCCCATCCCGCAGGAGATAAGTCAGGTGAGAGTGCTCGCCCCCAGCCCAGCCTACTGGCTGCCCTTGGACCCACACCTCTCCAGAAAGCAGACCTAGTGTCTGCAGCCTTCTCCCAGGTCCGTGTTTCCCCAACCAGGGATTGAAGCTGCACCCCCTGCAGTGGAAGCTCAGAGTCTTAACCACTGGGCCGCCAGGAAGTCACTGATGGCCTTTTTCGTCCTGCAGAGTCTTGGCAAACGCTCATGCTGAACCCAAGCCCTTTGGCAAAGACAAAGCTAACCTGGAAACCCAATCCCAAGCCTAGCTCAGCATGGCAGTGAGAGAATCCGGAAGCCCACCCAAGAGAGGACACGAAGAGCGTCCAGGAGGGAGAAGCCTTGGGTGAACTGAGGGCAGAGTGAGGGGAGCCCAGGCCCAGGACCTGGAAGGGCCGAGTCCCTCGGAGCTCGGATGGGCCACACAGGTCCCGCAGTCAAGGTCTGTGCCAAGCAGGTGGCCCTGAGCTGGAAGTGCCTCCTCTGGGACCCTCCAGACAGGACCCCACCCCCACCCCAACCCCGATGGCTGTGTCCTCGGCCCCAGGAGAGGGCTCACTGCCCCAAAGACGAAGCCCGTGGTCTCTAAGGGTCATTCTGGATAGTTTGAAACAAGCATGTTGTCCACTCTACTCGGACACAGATGAGCTGATTTAGGAACTCTGAGGGATACATTTACTGTCTTTCCCAGATTTTAAGTTATGAGAGTTTATTTCAATGAGCTCGTATTACTCAAAATACATTTCCTACCTTCTTGGATGGTGAAAACGGCTTTTAAAATACATTTAATTAAGAGTTTTCACTTGAAAAGACACTTGACTGTTAGCTGTGGGGCGTTTTTGGTTCTTGCCATTTTTTAGACAAGCGTAATAACCACGGCCACCTCATGCTTGCCTGCGTCCCCGGGCTGGCCCTGCCGCCTCCTGGCTGCCCACAGCGGCTGCGCTGCTACATCTAGGTCTTCCTCCCCAGAACCTGGTCCTTCGGACACCTGGCATCTACATCCGGCGGAAAGACACAGGCCAGGGAGGCCCCACGTGGTGCAGGGCTGGTGGTGGAGGCTCCCTGCACTCCCACAGCGGCTCCAAGACCGGCCACCCAGACAGCCCGGCTTCAGGTGACACCAAGGCTCACGGTGACGGCTCCCTCAGAGGGGAGGCCACCAGGTGCTTGGGGGGCTCCTCAGGGTCCCCAGCAGTCTTGCAAAGCCCCTTCCTTCTTTCCTTGACCCTCAGTTATGCACATAGATGATGTAACAAATGAAAGTCAGCTGCACATAACTGAGGACAAAAGGCCTAGTTCAGAGATCAAAGCCTCACCTTCATCAGTGTAACAAGGAAGGAGTAACAGGGACATTTTGAGACTATTTTCTGGCAAATCCCGGATACGCAGGGCCCAGGTCGTGGCAGGCAGGACCAAGGACAGCGCATGCTGGGTGCGGGTGTGGGTCCTTGAGGATGAAACGACGAAACACTGGATTCCCAGGGACCTGCCTGAACTCCCGCCTCACACCAGGGTGAGACAGGAAAAGTGGGGATCAAGATGGCGACAGCTGTCTGCCACCAAGACAAAGCCTTCATTAGGGCCTGGCTTCTGAGGGAAGGCCCACGCTCTGTGCACGGAGGGAGGGAGGGAGGGAGGCAGGGGGCGTGCTCACCCCACGGAGGCTGGGATGCTGCAGACTCAGGGGCCGAGCACTCCTAGCTGAGCCACGACCTGCAGGGGCCAAGGCAGCAGGGCCCCGGCCGCTCGAGGCATCTGCACCGAACCTATCAAGGCCAAGCCCGTGGACCAGAGCTGCAAGGGAGCCGGGCAGCCAGGACCACCCCCTGGGGCCCTGCCAGGTGGGAAGGACACGTTAGGCCCCTAGAACCACTCCCACCCCACATGGGTGCTCCCCCAGCCAACAGCAACCTTGGGCCCAGAGGCAGCGGCAGGCCTGGCTGACCACAGTGGGTAAAGGGCCAGCCGACCTGCCGAGGCAGGAAGCCTCCTTTAGGGAGGGAGAGCTGGCTGGGGCCTCCCTTTGAGCTCACACGCTTGTCAGAAATAAACCCCCCAGGTGGGGAAAGCTAGCTCAAGAGCCCAACCCAGGCGGACGGAGACCGAGGTGAGTGCAGGCAGAGAACACGGTGTCTGGGCCCCTGCCCCTGCCCCACGTCTCCTGGGCTGCGGCTGTGCGCCCCAGCTCACGCCTGGAGCCGCTGCACCTTCAGAGGGCGGGTCTCCCCCTCTCACCTGGGACAGATGAAGGGCGGCGTGGGCACCTCCTCTGTGGTGCAGATCCGCAGCTCCTCAGGAGTGGGGGCCCCAGAAAGACGAGAGGTTCTGTCTGCTGCCACAGGAAGTACGACAACAAAGGATCGTTCTGAAACACTCTGGGGTCCTACCCATCAAACGATGCAGACCCTGTCAGCGGAGAGCACGTGCTCTCGAAACTGCTACATGAGCACCGGCAAGCCTGCTGGAGCGACCCCGCGGGGGGCACTCAGATTCAGGATGGGCCCAGGGACTGTCCTGAGGGGAACATGGCAGGCACAGGGGGCTTGTGTCCAAAGTTCAAGGGCAAAAGGCAAACATACCGGAGGGTCTGAGATGCACCCAAAGGGACCACAGACCGGCCTTGAGCCAGGACCTGGGCCTGGAGGCTGCCCGTCCGGAATGGCAGAACCTGTTCTGACCCGGGTGCCCGAGGGCTCCAGTCTGTTCTAGTTCAAGGCAACTTCTCAGATGTGAGGTTTAGCCCCCAACCACGAGTTCATCCTACATACGTGTGCTCAGCATGGAAAACAGGTTCAGCTGAACGCTTCTGTCTCAACAGTGATGCTGAGAGATACGGGCCTGACAGTGCGTCCGGCAGACGTGACTTCTGGGCGCCCGAGGCAACGCCTTCCCGAGCCCTCGGAGCGCAAGCACATCATTCCTCCTGCTGCCCCAGCCCAGCCGTGTGGGGGGATTCGGCGAGGATGCGGCTCTGCTTCCCGTCGGACAAGGAGGGCCCGGGAGGTGGGCAGAGGGGGCCAGGCCGGCACAGAGCAGGCCCCGGTGCGCGGAGCCCATGCTGGGAACCTGAGGTCAAAGCAGAGATGCCCCCTGTGAAGGCAGGTGGCTGAGGGCAGAGGCTGGGGCCAGACCAGTGAGGAGACGGATGGGCCGATTCCAGGGCAGGGGTGAGGCGCCGACAGAACCCACACACGGGGTCAGACGCTCCCTGGGAGGTTGAACAGTGGAGCCCACGCCCCCACGTCCCCTCCCAGCCCAGGGCCCAGGCCTCTGCTGAGGGCCGGCCAGGCTCCCGCTCCCCCAGGGACAGAAGTACTTCCCTTCCCAGGGTCGGAAGTGACACACCTCAGCCTGGTCGCCCACAAACATCACCCAGCGCACGTGATGGAGACAAACCTGGGAAGAGACAGCCTCGGAACACCGAGAACAGAAGCAGGATCTCCAGGGGGAGTCAGAACCCCGAGGAAGTGGGCGAGGGGGCCAGGGGCAGTGCCAGCCGAGCCCTGTCGGGAAGGCGCTTCTGCCAAGTGGCCTCCCAGGCCCGCCGGCCGCCACCACCTGTGTTCTCTCCCAACAGCCAGGCCCGGGAGCCCGGCTCTGCCCCCGCACTGGGGCTCTGGGAATGGAGTGGGCAGGGGGCGGCTCGGGCAGGCCCTGGCTGGACCGTTGCGGTGTGTGCTTCACCGAGAGAGGATGCCCTCGTCCGAGCTGTTCCTCGGATGCTGACCAAACGGAGCCCAGGGACTTTCAGCATCAGCACCTCTGCCCCCCAACGGCACCAGGCGTTTCCCGCCTCGAGGCTTAGCCCGGGGTGTGAACCCAAATCCCACGGCTGGAGCTGGCCAAGTGGGCTGTGCCCCAGAACACGCTCATCCCAGGCATCCTCCAACCTAATTCTACCTCCAGTACTGAGCTTGATCCAACTGAAACAGAAGATGCAAAACCCCTCACACAGGGGGCCAAGTGCCTCTGGGGGAAGGTCCTCAAAGACAAGGACCAGCCCCCCGCTGGCCTGGACGGGTGACCACTGGCCAGCCACGGGCAAGAGCTGGGGCTTCCGCAAACCCACTGGGCCGAGCACAGCACCAAGGTAAGCAGGACCTCGTGCCTCTGGAAGCCCACGGTGACCTCCCAACTCCAAATCCAGGAGTCTGGACCCTTGCTCAGCGGCCCTGCGCTCTTCTCTGCTGGATTCAAGAATCCACTCAGAGCCCTGCCCACCTGTGGGGCTTCCCTCTGGGGTGCCCGTCCCGGGGAAGGGGGAGGCAGCCAGGAGCTCCCTCCCCACACATGAAGCCTCCTGGGCACTGAGTGGATGCGCAGCTCTGCAGGGAAATGGGCCACCCCATCTTGGGAACAATTTAATCATTTTGCTCAAATTTTAGCCTCACTACCTAACGACAACCTCACCACCTTCATTTCAGATGGGCACCAACCGCGGCTGCACGGGTCCAGCCCTCACCCATGCCTTCCCTGTGCCGCCAACAGTCTGCTGTCACAATACCCCCAGGGTTTTGTGTCAGAGCCATTAGCCTCATAGGCCTCGTGAAAAGCACAAGCCCAAGAAGCACAGTCACTGGCCACTGGGGGAGGCAGGACGGGTGACAACCTCGTGTCTGTGAAACGGCCACATCCCCAGACAGAAAACTTAAGAACAAACTGGGTGCCTCAGACACACGTGCTGCACAAAGGACGCCCTGGAGGACAGCGCAGGGAGCCACGGGATGCATAACTGGGCTGTGTTTTGGAACAGGTGTCACGTAGAAAAAGAATGATGAAAATTAGAAAAACAAACCTCTTGAGCAGCATGTGCAGAGAGGGTGCTCCAAACGGCCTGAGGCCCGCAGGGACCAGAAGCCTGTCTCATGAGCCGCCCGTGGGGCCGGGGCCGGGCGAGCAGGGCCACAGGCAGCCAGGAAAGGGCAGGACAAACCGAAGCAGAGGAGCGACTACAACTCCCCAGACTGCAACCAGGCAGCGAGGTCGCTTCGGTCGGGCCAAAGTCAGCAAAAAATGAATTGGGAAGTAGCAAATACGTTTCATCCGTAATCATGTTCTACACACACTAGTCACAGGCCCGGCTTCCAGAGCACGTCCCGGTCGTGTGGAGCCCCCTGGAGGGCAGCTGCCATCCCCCCCACCCCCCGCCAAGAACACAGCCTGGACCGGAAGGCGAGGAACACTCACCCGTCTGATCGACCAGGGCCCCTCCACCAGCCCTCCCGGGACGGGCGCAGCATCCTAGGGGCTCTGCTCGCCCGGCCTCTTCTGCACGGGGCCTGGGGCCCGGGAGGCAAGAACCCGCCATCCCTCTTCTTCAAAGGAAACACTCCCTGCACAATGGTGTTAGAAACAAAACAAAACAGTGACGGCCAGAAAGCAGACTCTGCAACCCTCCAGTCCAATGTCTCCTCCTCAGAAACCCGACCTCAGAAGCCGCCTTAAGTCAGCCTGAAGGGGACAGATGGCAGAGACAGACAACACCGTCTAACCAGGTGCGGCTTTAGCAGACTTTAAATAATACAAGTAGGGCTTCCCTGGTGGCGCAGTGGTTGAGAGTCCGCCTGCCGATGCAGGGGACACAGGTTTGAGCCCTGGTCCAGGAAGATCCTGCATGCCGTGGAGCAACTAAGCCCGTGTGCCACAACTACTGAAGCCTGCGCTCTAGAGCCCGCGAACCACAACTACTGAGCCCGTGTGCCACAACTACTGAAGCCTGCGTGCCTAGAGCCCGTGCTCCACGACAAGAGAAGCCACCGCAATGAGAAGCCCGCGCACCGCAACGAAGAGTAGCCCCTGCTCGCTGCAACCAGAGAAAGCCTGCGTGCAGCAACGAAGACCCAATGCAGCCAAAAATAATAAATAAATTTATTTTTAAAAATAAATAAAAGTGGTAGACCACTTGTCCAAATAGGGTAAAATGCTACATTTATTTAATTTAAGAGGAAGCTCAAGAAAATATTTAATAAATTGGCTGAATAAAAATGCAATGGGAAAAATATCTTTAGTCTTAGTGTTTTGTTTCAAATAGACACGTACCTACCCTCCAGCTGTGTGACATCATAAAAATTTTGATCTCAAAACAAAAGAGAAAACCTGAGTCCTAGGCTGGAGCATTTTACTTACTTTTTGAGAAAAAACCCTCAGATCATGAATTAGTCTGCAAATACCAAATCACTTCTACATAAATGGTTCAAAACAGACTAAATCCCAAACATCACAGGGCGGCGGGGGGGTGGGGAGGGTGCGGTGGGGGAACAACGTGGTGATGCTCTAGGTGCCGATCTCCTGGCCGCCTACCGCCCACCTCCAAGCAGTGCCCGAGATCCACCCCAAACACTGTGAGTTCAAGGAAAAATAAAATGACCCCCACCCTCACTGAAATTCCACTTACTGAGTGATTTAAGCAGGAACAGCACCAAGCCCAGGGTGGCCACCGACCCAGATGTCCCTGGATGACCCCCCGTGCTCCCTGCCGAGCCCTGGCCAAGCTTGGCGTTCTCGAGACCACGCAGTTTGCACAAGAAACCAAACCGTCTGGCTAAGATGGAGGGAGGGTGGGGGGCTGGCCCAAGAGGCCAGTGGTCATTGCAAACCAACCCACCTGTGCCCAGCAGGGTTCCCCATGGGGACCCGCGGGAGCAGCCAGGGTCGAGAGGCCTCTGAGAAACACAGCAGAGGAAGGAAGGGCCGCAAGCCTCCCAGGCAGGAAGCAGCCGAGAGGAGGAGCGCTGCCGAGTGTCCCCAGCTACCTGGGACACACCAAGGGCTGCCCGACATGGCCTGGCAGAGCCTGTCCTGACAGACTGTCCGTTCTTATTCTGGTGGTCATGGTGACGCCCTGCCTGTCCTGATGGGGCTGGGGTGGGGTGGCTGTGCTCCTGCACACGAGCCAGGGAAAGGCCGACGGCGGAGTTCAGGAGCTTACAGGTGACGCCCACGCACCAGGGAGATGCTCCACGAAGTGTCCGCGGAGATGGTGCTTTGGGGCCAGATTCCTCGAGCCCAACCGCGTGCCAGGGAGAGGCCCTGCCCTCAGACACGGACGTGCGACCCAGACCCTCCCCGAAGGCCCCCATGACGGTGCTTCTCTAGCTTCCAGGATGTGTGTCCCCAGAGACGCCCTCCCAAGGCCCTCGCTTCAGAGGGTGGCATCAGGAAGGTGCAGGTCCACGTGTGGACGGGGCATCTCGGGGGCAGGAGCCTGGGGCACCTAATGGCGACGCAGCTTGGGCACAAGGCCGCTGGTGTACGCACTCCTTCAGTCTCCATCCACATGAGGAGCGGTCAGTGCCGAGGTGGACATGGCTGGACCCCGTCAGGGTTCAGGGCCAGGGGAAAAGCCGTACCCACGTGCTGCTGGCACCTAGACCCACACCCGCCCACGGCAAGGCCCGCCCAGCCCACTCCCACACCTCCTCAGAAGCCCTGCCCTGAGGCGGGGGGGAGGGCATTCCTGATGCCCACCCGGCCCCCGACCTCGGAGCTGACACAGCTCACCCGGATTCCCACCGGCCGGCCAGCCCTCCAACACTGGCCACAGGCCACGGCCACCTCAAATTCAGACTCCAGACACATGCCAGGTGCCAACGGGAGGGGGCCAGAGCTGACTACTGCTCCCCCCCGCCAGGGAACCCTGACAACCCCTCACCTGTTATGGATGGAGACACCCTCCCCTCCAAGGCACCCAGTCTGTGTTTTCACGGCAAAGCAGCATGGATGCAAGAGGTCTCCCTCGAGCCACGGGGCTGGGGCAGCACAGGGGCCCAACTGCAGCCCCCCATGGCTCTGAATCGGGCCCCTTCCTCCCTGGAGCCGGGGGGCGAAGCCAGGGCAAGAGCAGGCCGGTAGGCGGGCGGGTGGCGCTGCAGCTGCTGTGCGTGGTCACGAGAACACTCAGCCACCAGCCGTGGGAGCGGCGTCCTCAGCACACCTGGGTATGAGCAAGGCTGACAGCAAAGAGCTTTAGGCTTGAAATACTCTCAAAGGGTTGTGGCGACTGCTGGGACCCTCGAACATGAAGAGCCGATGCACCACAAGCTGTCACGAGGCCCCACCGCTCCTGAAGCTGGCGGCGGGAGCTCTGGCGTGGTCTGCAATGGCCTCGCCACCCCGGTCCCCAGTCAAAGTGAACCCACCAACGCGGGCTGCGGCGTCACCCACCGGCTACACGCTGCGTCTGCACCCCACCTGCCGCAGGCTGTGGGGACCCCGACCTGCCCTGCTGTCGCCTCAGGAGGGACCCCGCAGCCACCTCGGGCAGCCAGCTGCTCGACTCGGGGCAATGCCTGTCAGACATGCAAGCTTCTCTTCCGGCCACATGTGAAATACCTGAAGGCCTTAACTTTTATTTTAAGCCTGAGTGCTTTTCTAAAATCCAAAAGCTTAAGCATCAATAAAACTAGATCAGAGTTTCCCTGGGAACCAGTGTCTGGCTTAGGAACACACTCATGTGTTAAACAGACACTGTTTTCAGTAACCACTTGAAACCACAGCTGCCAACCAGGGTGAAATGAGATGGGGTCAGATAGGCGAGCTCACGCCAGGCACGCACGGGGCCAGTGAGGGTGACCAGGGACCGCCCACGACGGGGGTCAGGCAGGACACGCTGAAGGTGGGAGCCCAAGGGGCTTGGACTTGAAGTGCAGGAAGTGTCCTCAGGGCAGGGCCGGGCAGCCACCCCATGCCACCGAACGCAGCAAGAGAAGGCAAGGAGGGTCTGACGAGACCCCAAGAACAAGGTTCTGGAAAAGCCCAGGGGCCTTGAGCAGGACGGAGCTGCTGTGTCCACTAACCTCGTACCCAGGATGGAGGCCCGAAGGCTGTGGGATTTATACTCTTAGAAATTACATTTATTATTACCTTTTACTCCAAGACAACAAAAATTACACAGTGGAGAAGTGAGTATCCACATAAATTAACCTAAGGCCTAAAAGACAATGAAATTGAGAAACTGAAAATGAATAAACAAATAGTTAAAAAACAATCTAACCCCAGAGGTATTTAATTACAAAAGAGCCACAGGAGAAAGAGGGAAAGTATGCGAGATACAAGTTCAACACGCAGCCTCCACTTACAGGGTAAAGTCAGGATCTGGGCGAGTGTTAGTTATATCTGCACTGAAACTCACTGTTTGGGGAGCAATTGGTCACATGTATTAAAAATCACATGAACTATATTTAGAGCTACACATTCACTTGCTTTTTAAGACAAGTGGTTTTGTAACTCACAAAGCAATTATCCAAAACCAAGGAAAGATAGCTCTCCTGGAGCCGTGAGGACACTGCCAGCCTCACCTTTCCTGGCGGCCTCTCCTCCGTGACTGGGCCCAGGGACCCTGTTCCTTAGGTCACAGATTGGCCAGTCTTACATTTAGAAGAAAATGACTTATCTTACCCCAAAAGTGCGCCAAGTAGGCTGAGGTTCAGCTGCAGATTCTGCTCAACTGATGCTGGAGAGCCCGGGAGGAAGCTCAGGTGTGGAAAGTGGCTCAGGCAGAAAATGGAAAGATCTGGAAGCCTCTACCAACTTGACACAGGAGGTACACTACAGCCCCCAAACGGAACACCAAGTTTGAAGCTGCTCTGTATTCAAAAGGACTCCAAGGCAAAGGGATGAAAAAACTTAAGGTCCACGGGAACATTTACACATAAAAGAGGACAGCTCAACGACAACGACAAAAGGACAGCTCAACTTCGGACGTTAGGCAGAAGCTAGCTCCTAAAGACCCGTGCTGTACGACCTGTGGATCAGAAACGTCCAGAAGAGGCAGAGCCACAGGCGGGGACTGGGCCAGCAGCTGCCAGGGGGCTTCCTGGGGGGAAAACATCCTACAGTCTGCTGAGCGCACAGCCCCGTGGACCCGCGAAGCCGTGCACTTGAAGCAGGTAGATCGTCTCACAGTCAAGGACAGCTCCCGCCTTAGAGGCGTCCGAAGAGAAGACCCTCTTACATGCCCGGGGAGGGTCAGGTGAACCCAGATTTCCTGCACTATCGTTGAGAGTGCCCACAGGGGGAGGGAAACGTAAACCTCACCAGGCTGTCTAGCTCCTCACAGGGCTGGGCGACATCAGGCAGGTGCTCTGCGGCCACACCTGTCACCGCAGGACCGAGGCCGCAGCCTCTCAACCCAACCCACTCCTGCTTGTGGCGAGAAAACCAAAAGCCAAACCCCTCTTTACAGCCAAATACTGAACAAGCAAACTGCCTGGCTACTGACGACTACAGACCAGAACCCACTGAGGGCCTGAGAACCACAGGGTCCCAGGCCCCAGCCCACAGGGCAGAGCGGTGCCCAGGCGAAGCCCGCAGACATCTCCAGGGCCCATCTGTCCCTGCCAGCCACTTGGCCTCAACTCCCCGGCTCTGCCCAACAAGGGGCATCTTCTCTTCCCTGAAAACTCAAACGTTTACTGCATGTCGTTTTACCCTTGGGTTCCATCTTGCAATATTTTCCTAGCTCTGCACTGTAAGCTACAAAAGCCACGTCTGCAAATGTCCAGGTGTTCTTTGCTACAGATTTAGGTTTTGACCTCTTGTCTGCTGTGTCCTGAGCACAAGGGGAAACGCGGGGCTCCCTGCCCCACACCTGATCACCAACCCTGCCCAAGTTGGCAAGGCCTCCGGCCCCCCACCCCCTGGCATCCTGCCAGCGTCCCAGTGGACTCCCCGTCCCCCACTGCCGGCAGATGCTCCTCTGTTACTGGCCAAGGGCTGACTCAGGCAGAGCTGAGCATAGTGCCAGACACAGCCTTGTTTTGCCCCTTCCCACCCCACCCAGAAGGTAGAAATCCCACCCCAGTGAAGCCAGCAAAGAGACAAGGCTCCTCCCAGGGGCTCGTGAAGGGCAGCCAACGCGGGGGGGGTCTACGGAGGCAACTCCCCTACACGGGCCCGGACAGCAGGCACAACCATCCCCTGGACTGGATGCTGCTGGGGAGACCACGGGCCTGTACAGTCACCCCGAGGAGAGTCTGAGTTCTGAGAGGCTGGGCTCTGCCCCTTCGTTTAGAGCCACCAGGGACACGCACAAAATCCCTCCAGATTTGGTCTACAATGTGTAAATGCTGCCCATTCCCAGAAGTAGCTCTGATGTGAAAGACCTAACTTACAATAATTAAGGGAGTACAGACAAGTAAGTGCATTATCTGTTGTCGTTTCTCTTGTTGAGTTTAAGTCTTTAAAAAACGAATGGTGCTAACTGAACAATAATCTTAAAAAATACTGGGTTGGCCAAAAAGTTCTTTCCGGTTTTTCTGTAACATCTTACCCTACAGAAAAGCCCAAAGGAATTTCTGGCCAACTCACTAGATGGGGTCTCAAGTTAAGCTTATCAACAGAGAGTTTTCAGTGCAAGAACCAAAAGCCTGGAGTTGGATCACAGCTTTCCCAGGGGAGCGGCCGTGGCTGGCGCCTCTCCACAAGGTTAGGACGGCTCTCACCACACGGCACCGCCACGCGGAGCCCAGGACACGGCTGGCATCTCCCCGGCAGTATGCAGAGCTGTGCCTAACGTGGTCTGCGCCTTCTGAGAAAGGAGCGTGTGCGCAAGGTGCGCTGCAGGGTCTCTTGGGGCTCCCACACCCCCGGGAGGGCCTTGGGACTGCATGGGGCAGCGGGGGGTGCTGGTTCTGGTGGGCGTGAGTCCTGGACCCCCAGCATCACTGCCCGGCTGGGGCACTGACGAGAAATACCTGCATTTCTGCCCCAATGCCCCCACCCGACGTTTTCCCTTGCAGCTGGGGAGAAGCGGGCACGGGGTGGAGCGTGCAGCAACCACCAGCGTCCAGTGCGTTTTGCTGGAATGACCTCTGGGGCCCCTCGCAGCTAAGTAATCTATAGGTGTACAGAGAACATTCGTAGTTTATTCACAATTGCAAGAACGCCGAAGTGAAGGAAGCTTTCCACCCGGTGTCTATACTCCTCTCGCTTGGGATGTGTCTGGTCTCCATCCTGAGAACCACCGTCACTCATGGTAACATGAGGTGTCCCAGGAATTTAAAGCAGCCCGGGGTGACCGTGAAGTGTCTGGTCAAAACCCAGCCAGCAAGGATGATCTTAATATCCACAGCCTGGGGTCACATTCACACGAATCTGGCTTTAAAATACCTTCCTTTCCCGTGAGTCTTAGGAAGCAGACAAAGTCTGTTTTGTCTCTTCCTGAAAGGAAGTCAAGTCCTCTCAAATTCCCTGCTTCTAACATGCTTCCTTCGGCACCCAATGTGGCCCTCTCATGAGCTGACCCTCCAGAAAGAGCACCAGAGTGTGAGGCAGCCGCCCGTGAACCAGTGCACACCCACGCCCACACCTACCTGCAGTGTGCAAAGCCACGGATGGCGGGGTCCCACCTTCCTCACCTAAGCTGCTCTAATACTGTATCACAACCTTCCCCGACTGTGTCCACGTGGACTGCAGCCCACGGCCCCGAGTGGCTCCAACCTCTGGACGGTCCCGTGAGCACCAGAACAGAAACCCAGTGACCCCGCACACCTCAAATGGGCCGCCGCGTCCCCTGCCTCACAGGTGCCCCTGAGTGGTGCCCACAGGTGACACCTGTCAGAGACAAGCACACAGGGTTAAAGGGCAACCACTGGGATGCAGTTCTTTGTCTTTCCTAAGGAGATCGTTGTACATCTGGTCATATGTGGTTTTGAAATCATAAACGTTTGGCTTGTCGGGTGCTGGTCCTGGAAGCTTCACATGAGTTCCTGTTCCAAAGGACCGGACGCTGAATCCTCGTTTGCTGAAAGACACAAAACGACAGAGAATCACAGTTGGACTAAATGAGACACAATATGCTAAAAAGGAAAATGAAATGGGAAATGGACTATATGAACGATTTTGTTGGTCTCAAAGAACACGTTTCTCAATTCTTAACTCAAGTATTTTATTTGCAAATTTAAAAAAATCCTGTAGCACGTTACACAAAAGCTAGGTGAAGCCAATCCCAACAGAAGACAAAGGATCCTGGAACGTAGGGGAACGAGGTGGATGTCTGTGATGGCCACAGGATAGACACGTGGTAGAGGGAAGATTTCACCTAGAACGTCTTGTCATCTGACTCCTGTCCTGGTCTCTAGAAGGAAACCATTTGTCCAGGTTTCCAGCTGCCGTGATGCAGGCTTCCCAGGACCAAGAATAGAGTTTCCGGAGCCCCGGAGCAGAGGGACACTCCCCCGGCCTCCTACCTCGAGGCGCCAGCTGCGAGGGCCAGAGATAAGGGAATGGCTGAGTGTCTCCTAATAAACTGAGGGAACCTCCTTGACAGGCAGCGTCCACGAGCCACAATCGCACCCTAAGCAAGAAAGGTCATCGCACACACTGCGGCCCCAACGCCATCCTCACTCAGACCCCAGCTGCAGACCCCATGTTCCCTCAAACTCACAAGCGGTGAAAGCCAACACTGGGAGTGTTCAAAGCGTCTACGTGAAACGGCCTTCTCATCCTAACCTCGTGTTTATACATCACTAAAACGTCCGTGTGGAAGCATCCCTGCCTGCCAACTCGGGAGCAGGCCCCAGGCCCACCAGCCCTGATGTTCTCCTCACGGCCCTGCAGGCTCTGAGGCGGCCGCGGTCACTGTCTCAAGCTTTTTTGTACATTTTATTGCAGCTCAGGGGTGTCTGGCCACATCTGGAGGCCCACGGAGGAGCGAACGTGTCCATGCACACATGTCCCAGCACGTGGGGAAGCCCAGGTCTGCAGGCGCCAATCCCCCGATCCCTCGTGGGCACCGATGCCTCTCTGCTGAAAGGCGGACAAATAAGGGAGGAAACCTCACTCGGCCCCCAGCGCCTGTGGAGCGAGACCCGTGGTCTCTCCCAGCAGACACAGCACTTCTAGAAGCCCAGCCCGAGAGTCACTGTCCCTCCCACAAAAGACAGGAAGGACCCACAGGTCACTTGCTGTCACTGTGAGAACGGGGAGAGACGCGAGGAGCGCAGCCACTGCGCCTGCTGCGACAGAGCCTCACAGACACACGTTTTTAAAGCACTTCTCATCCGGTTTGGGTCAAACACCTTGCCTGAGTCCTCTGAAGCTGGTAATGTCCCTCTGTCCCTGGAAGGCCCGAGCTGTGCCCTCAACCAGGCCCCAGAGGTCACTGTGATGGAGAACACGGGGGACAACAGGCACGACTGAGGAGTGAATGGGGCCGTGGCCACCTGAGCTGTAAATGGACACCAACCAACCCAGCCCCAGTTTACGTGCAGCTCCGGGCCCCGGGGACACGGAGGCTGGGATGCAAGGGCCCAGCCACGCGGGCACCTCCACCCACAGGCTCCAGCAGGTGCCCAACAGACCACGTCACCCAACCCGTTTCCTCACCAGGTCAGGTACGTACAATAAAAGAAATGTTCTCTGTCAAAGGACCAACAAGGCAGGGATGAAGGCCCCCTTGACAACAGCCGCGCGGGGGTCACACTCTCCCAAGACAGTGACCGGGAACAGGTCACGGCCACGGGCGCCATGGGAACACACAGCAGTGGGCCACGCTTGTCTTGCTGGCTTCATGATTTGCCACTACTCCACAAGAACTGCCCGAAACAGAGAGCTTATCCTCATAGTGCCAAGCCCCTCACCCCAAAAATACCCTGGAGGGAGCAGGTCCTTGAGAGAGGAACGTGTGCTATGGAAAAACACTAACCCACAGAAGCAAGGTCCCTGAGGGCTTGGAGCTGAGTCCAGTCCCTGCAGAGGGAGCCCAAGGTGTGACCCTGCCAGGAAGCGACACAGTGACTGCGTGAATCCAACTGCTCGACACACTCCTGGGGCCACCCCGGGCCTGTCTCCAAAGGCCACGTATCTGTTCACAAGATCTTGGGAGAAAGGCCTGTCTTCTGGTAGATGCTTTAAAACAAGCCATTTGAAACCAAATAATGAGTGAGTTAAGTATGTGAGAGAGAGTGCCTTTACGGGTCAGAATGCGAAACCACGCTGAGACCACCTTTCTCAGCTAGCTACCCAAGAAGCCTGCTCCAAAAGGGGTCCCAAAAATCATTTGGGGGAACCGTGGGAAAAACAAAACGCTTCCCAACAAAAATAAGTGAAAGATTCATTTAGACACAGTTCCTCCATCACTTTTTTAAAAACAAATCAGTATTTCTACATCTCAGTCATCCCTTTGAGATACTTACTCATAATTAAAGAACTTATTTACATGAGCCCAACTCTTAAACCTAAGTTCAAATTTATTAAAATGAGCCCAAGCACAACTACTCTTGAAATACATTAATGAAATGTATACTGAATAAGTCTTAATTTGGCCAGGCAGCAGCAAAGGAGACTGTTAAATCCCCAATGGCTAAAGTTTTAAGACTGAAAAACCACCACCACTTCTACTGGTGGCAGGTTAGCCATTCCATTTTTGATCCAATGATATTTTCTGGAGCTTACTATATGTGCTGGGGATTCAGCAGTGATTGAAACAGACCTAAATCCCTCTCCTCAGATGCTCTGGGAGTGGGAACAAAGTAGGTAACCCTCCAGGACACAGGATGGGGGAAGCGCAGAGATGGCAAAGCTGTGGGGCTGGGGGTGATGGGAAACAGGGTGCCTGGGGGCTCCCAACACATCCTGCACCCCGTAATGCAGGCCCCAGACAGGACCCCAGGGTGTTCCTGGGGTTGGCGTAGGGCATGTGTGCCACTGAAAAACTGCCCATAGGGTTCCCAAGAGGCCCTAGGTGGAGAGGTCCCAGCACAGGGTCTCACATGCCCCTGCCTCCTGCCGGGGCAGCGAGCCTGAACTGCCCGGGTGGACAATCTCCTTCCCTTACCTCCTGTCACAACAGGGGCTGAGGCGTGCGCTAGGTGTCCAAGTGAAACACTGTCTATATCCCTAAAAGTAGATGACCCCAAAGATAACCTGGGCCCATTTTCCACACGGCTGATCCCTAACAGGGCTTCTAAGAGGATGCCTGCTAGGTCTCTGAAAGGCTGGGTGAGGTCTCTCCTACTAGAAACCGTCGGGGGAGGGGGGCCGCAGCTGCCCTCTCCTCACTGCCCTCCCTAACTGCCTGAAATGTTACTCAAGCATATTTAAAAATAAAATGAAACCCCAAAAGAGGAATTTACTGGCAGAAGAATTTAAACTGCACACACAAAATGAAACCCAGTTTGTTCTTCCCCCAACAAAATGGTCACAAGTGGCAAAAAGGCTAGTTAACAACAGAAGCCCTGTTTCTTCTAAGCTCATGCAACTGACAAAACAGCCCATCTTGTGTGTGACTATGTACAGTGACGATGTGTTTCTCACATAAAAGGACTGAGCGCTGTAAAAATATTGCTGACCACCGAAAGGCTTTGTCTCAGGGGCCAATTATTTTGTATGTTAAACAAATCTTCCAGACAAGTATTTATCAAACTTGTCTTTATAGGTATCAAAAATCTATCAGAAAAATATAGAAATTATGTTACACATTAAGATACAGAAATGTTAAGTTATAGAAAAGATTACACTATCATAAAAAACACTGGGGCTTCCCTGGTGGCACAGCGGTTGAGAGTCCGCCTGCCGATGCAGGGGACACAGGTTCGTGTCCTAGTCCGGGAGGATCCCGCATGCCGCGGAGCGGCTGGGCCTGTGAGCCATGGCTGCTGAGCCTGCGCGTCTGGAGCCTGTGCTCCGCAATGGGAGAGGCCACAGCAGTGAGAGGCCCGCATACCGCAAAAAAAAAAAAAAAAAAAAAAAGTTGAATTTTGGGAAACAGAATTGTTTCAGTTGTTATCCTGATGCCTAAGGGTAAAATAATAAAGTTAAAATGAATACCAATCAAGAAAACACCCAGGGCTTCCCTGGTGGCGCAGTGGTTGAGAGTCCGCCTGCCGATGCAGAGAACACAGGTTCGTGCCCCGGTCCGGGAAGATCCCACATGCCGCGGAGCGGCTGGGCCCGTGAGCCATGGCCGCTGAGACTGCGCGTCCGGAGCCTGTGCTCTGCAACGGGAGAGGCCACAACAGTGAGAGGCCCGCGTACCGCAAAAAAAAAAAAAAAAGAAAACACCCAAATTTACAGTATGGGTTATGCCATTTTTTTTCTATTTTCTATAGTGTGGTTATTAACCTAATTCAAAGCATTATTGTGGCTAAGACTGAAATCCTAGACCACTGCAAACCTTCTGAAAGTAGGACCTGTCTCTGAGTAGGACACAAGATGCTTACGAGCATAAGTCACCTTTACTACAGGTAAAATCGCCCACTGCTTAATCAGCCGTTTCTAGCTACACAATGACCTCATGCTTACCCAACACAGATCAACTGCTCAAGCACCATCACACTATAACGCCTGCCTGCAGTTTCACTGTGGTATAGCCACAAGCTGGGAAGATCAACTTCCTGAAATGTTAATATTCCAGTAAAGTTGATGTCACCCCTAGTAAAACGTCAGCCTAAGCACTTCCCAATGTTTTCTAGGGTTTATTTTATTCTCACCCTCCCATAGGTCAAGAAGAAAACAAAAGGCCTCTCAGCATAAGATCACCACGCATGGAGCTTGTCAAACGTGCCACTTTGTTTAGCGCCCAAGAGAGCTCCTGCTTAGATGTCCCTGCTCCAGGCCAGCTCTTCCTCGACCCTGGCTTCTCGAAGGCCAGCTTGCTCTGCCGGCCACTGTCGGCCTCCCCAGGGTGCAGGGCCAGCAGAGTAGGGCCTCAAGATCTGGTACTTCAGCTGTTCCAGTCCCAGCACTGCCCTAAGCGCTACTAACCATGGTGAACCCGCTCAACTATCTTCCCTGGGCTCGACCTGTTCTCACCTACAGAAGGTTGGAGATGATGATCCTTAAGGCAGGGGAAAATGTTTTAGCTGCTGGAACTGATACCATGCTTGGTCTACCCAGTTTCGTCTCAATGTTCACATCCAAACAGAAATCTACCTTCTTCCAACCAAGCCTTCTGGTCTTAGTTCTGCCTCCTGAAGACAAAAAGCAAAAAAACAATGCAGAGTCCCTTAAAATCTATGATGGCAAACGTGTCCCCTGTAGGCACCTCTTCTAACCTTATACACACAATTTCAAATCTTCCACCTCCCCAGATAGTTTCCAGTTTACCTTCCTCAAGTGTACCCAGAAACAAAGTATCAAAAATGCAGCCAAAGGGGCCGCAGGGGATAGCGGACAATCCCTCCCTGGTTTAGAACAAGAGGCTTCTGGAAATGTGTTCAAGACAAGGGGAGAGTTTAGCACCATCTGGGAGAGTGCTGTGTCAAGCCGCCTGGGCTCACTCAGATCCTGTGTTCAGATCCCAGCAGCCCTGAGACTCAGTCCCCTCTGGGAGAGGCTGTCTGAGTACCTCCATCCCAGTGTGGCTAGAGTCCACATACTCTACTCATGACATTAAGACTTGAGCGCCCCACCCCAAATCGGAGAATCACAGGACCTCAGCTGACTGTCGCACTCCCCGCAGCCTAGATCCTCCTCCAGCCCGCGTTCTATCCCATCAGTTCTGTCACTCATCCGTCAGCACTGGAGCCCCTTGTAGCCAGATCCTTGCTGTCACTCATGAGCTGGGGCTTCTTGCTCTGGGTATTATCTCCTCACCTGTGTACGTGTGCACATCCTAAGAGTTGTGAGGACGAAATCAGATGGCATTTGCAAAGCACCTGGCACAGAGGAGCTCAAGAGACTGATTCTAACCTTTTTTCTTCCACATCTGCAGCCTCTCTGCTCATCTTCCCAAAATCAAACTGCCCAGGAAATTATGATTGAAAACAGTAATTTAGAGAAGTCTTTCTTTAAAATCTGTTTTGAATTGCTACGATTAAAAACAGCTTCCAGGGCTGCCCTGGTGGCGCAGTGGTTGAGAGTCCGCCTGCCAATGCAGCGGACACGGGTTCATGCCCCAGTCCGGGAAGATCCCACATGCCGCAGAGCCGCTAGGCCCGTGAGCCATGGCCGCTGAGCCTGCGCGTCCGGAGCCTGTGCTCCGCAATGGGAGAGGCCACAGCAGTGAGAGGCCAGCGTACAGCAAAAAAAAAAAAAAAAAAAACCAGCTTCCAAAAATCAGCAGGCCCCTTGACCTCTAACAGAGTTTGGAACAAAAAAATAAATTAATTGGTTCCAAAGGGACACCTTAATCCACAGAGTACAAAGAACAGGAGGCTCTGTGGAAATAAACATAGTCTTCCTGCACCCCTTAAAAAACCTGAATGGCTCCAGGACTAGTATTTCAAACAATTTAGTCTCAAAAGATCAAAAATGATCACCCCAGGGAACATTATGACTAGCTCTAGAAAACGCCAACATTTATTAACACTTGTATTTGACTTCTCAGAAAAATACAGCCTGAGCAGATTTTCAAGGGGGCAAAAATAAAATTGGGTTTCACTAATAAATGACCTAGTGTGCATGCTTGATCAACTACATTCCTTATGATAGTTCATTTCAGAAGTTTTCCTATGCATAGTTTTATTTAGTTGTAACCAAACTGCATACACAATTTTCCTGTTTTCACTTATACATTTCTTTTTTTGGCCATGCCCTGCAGCATGTGGGATCTTAGTTCCCCCACCAGGAATTGAACCTGTGCCCCCTGCATTGGGAGCTCGGAGTCTTAACCACTGGACCGCAAGGGAAGCCCCTCATGGTACCTTTTTTTTTGTTTTTGTTTTTTTTTGCGGTACGTGGGCCTCTCTCTGTTGTGGTCTCTCCCAACGCGGAGCACAGGCTCTGGACGCGCAGGCTCAGCGGCCATGGCTCACGGGCCTAGCCGCTCTGCGGCATGTGGGATCTTCCCGGACTGGGGCATGAACCCGTGTCCCCTGCATCGGCAGGCGGACTCTCAACCACTGTGCCACCAGGGAAGCCCTATCGTACCATTTTTTAAAATTTATTTATTTATTTAATCGTACCATTTTTAAATGCTTTTCACAATCATCTTCAAGGCCTAAGTCTCTAAATCTTTTATAAGCTCTACTAGTTGTAACAAAAACCATCATATAAATTTCTTAAACATCCTTTTAAACCCTGTAAGTTATCTAAAGAGATAAAGCCATAAATAATTTTCAAAAGTGAAAACGACACAAAAAGTTGTTCAATCTCAACAGCAATTTTAAAACTAAAGGGCGAGATACTTTTGCCCCAGCAGCATGAAAAGATATAAATAATGCCCATATTGTGAGGAAATGGGAATTCTATAAACAGGTACTTTTCTGGAAGGCAGTTTGGCAGAATGTATGAAAATGTAAAATATGCCTACTTTTTGACTCAGCAATTTATGCCAAGGAAATAACTAGAAAAGTGTACAAAGATACTTAAAATGGCACAAGAATGTGGACATTATAAAACTGAAAACCAACCACCTGTTACGGGGAGTGGTTACCAAAGTGCTGCACAGGATTGCTCTGAGTACTGGCTCATGGTTTTGTAACCACTGCTATTACTCAACATGAACAGATATGTTCAAATCCAATGTATAAAAATAAAAGCAGAAATGAATATTGAAATCAAACTATGTTCACGTTCTGTGGAGAGATTACCTAACAGTGCTCTGGCCTCCCTTCAGTGTGTGTCCGGATGCCTGCAAGAACATCCAGAAAGAAGGGTGTACCCCAAAATGGTACCGTGATCCTTATCTTCTTCATCTTCTATATTTTCTACAGCAAGGATTTTTTGCAACAAGCAAATACTATCATTTTAACAAAGGAAAACACCCCCCAAATATAAGCATTTTAGAAATTAAAGATTCACGTCTAAAATAACTTCACATTCATGATACAAATAATGTATGTTACCCTAAACTTACCTCCTTTTGCCCTCATTCTGAATCTACTTTTCTCATGAGTAAATTTGAAAAATAGTAAAATGGGTAAAAGTACACAAGCATTCCTACTTGGTGATTATTTGGGGGCTCTTCTGCACCCTCATTTCCGCAGGAGACCCAAGGCTGTGCCAGTTACTTTGAACTAAGCAAGGGCTTAAATCTTGCTGGTGACTGTCTCAGGGCTATCAGATAGGCAAGACTTTGGAACTGATTTACTAACAAAGTTGCTAAAGGAAATTTAAAAACATTTCCTTTTGTAAGATTTCACCCCAACTTTGTTATGCAGATAGAGAAAAGCTTAAATAAAGGATCACCAGCCAGAACCAGCAGAATGAGGTGGTCTCCAGATCACTTGTCATTCTAATTAAAGACATTAAATTTTATTTTCCTTGAATAATTTTCCTGGAGCGTGAACCTTGCAATCTTTTCCTTAAAGTTACCACTTTTAGTGACTCTGAACAGATAAATGCAGTTTGGGGATCAGATCCAGCACACTGTAATTCTTGCACTTTTCCAATTGTAAAACAACTTTACAGTTTAAAAAATTCTAGTTTAGAAACGAACTCCACATTGGTTTGTAAGGTTCGAAGCATATCACACTAGACCAAAAAACAACATTAACTGAATGCTGCAGACAGTGTGGTAGATGTTAGGAAGAATTAAACTCATAACTAGCAGATCGTGGACACCTGGTGCGTCCAGCTTCATTAAAAACGAGGGGCGAGGGAGAATTCTGATTTCCCCAGGAGAGTCAAAGCTGACTGCCGTAGTAGGAGAAGCAGCGAGGCATGGTTGTCCTGTAATGTCCACACAAGAAAACTTCAGAAGAAACGGCAGTTTCAACTTTTACTATCAAAGTTGACATGTACAGCAAACTTTAACTGTAATGCAAGGTGTCAATTTCACATTCTGTAAAGTGATTTTGAACGAAAAAAAATTTATCAAACGGGAATAAAATTTTATTAAACATATACAACACCGGCGTCACAAAAGGGGAGTTAGCACTGAAACGTGAAACCAAACTCACGTGTGGTTCAGAAATTATCGACTGGAGATTTTCCAAGGGAGGAGAAAGGATTTTTTTGCATGAGACTTGAAAAATGTAGATAGAAGCAAATACACAAATGCATGAAATTAAAATAGGCCATTTCCGTGTTTTTACGACTTGTTCTATCCTGAGATCCTGTCGCGCAAGTTTTCCATATTTGATAAAAAGGCGACACGCCCTGGACACAACCGGCCTATCCTCTCGTGGACCCTAACCTTCGTCTTGCAACTTACCGCCTCACTGCTGAGCATTTTACAGAGACCATGATTTTCAGATACACAGACGTGCGTACGAAGTAGACGCGAACAGCATCAGCCTTTCAGGTTTACTAGCAGTTTGAGGTTTCAGCGACCCGGAAACATTTCGGCTCAGAATGTGAATTTTTCGCGACGCTAAGCACACGTGGGGGACCGCGCGGCGGACCGAGTTTTGTCGATTCCTCGCTGCGCTCGGCCCTGTAGCCAACGAGCCTGGAGGCGGCGAGGCCTCTCGGCCGTCCTTCGGGGGCCGCCGCGCACCGCCCGCCTGGGAACCTGGGCCGCCCAGCACGGGTCAGGGAGAACCGGGGCCGGGAACCGCGGCCGCCGCCACACAGCACGGGCCGGGAGCCGGAACCGCCCAGCACGGGCCGGTCGGCCGGAGGGACGGCCGGTCGGCCGGCGTCCGCGGGGCGCGCTGGGCCAGGGCGGATGCCCCAACTACCTGAGGATGTTGTGCGCCTCCATGCTCCGGTTCTGGTTACTCGAGCACACCACCGCCACCCGCAGCGGCGATGACGGCATGGCGGCGGCCGCACCGTCCGCGACTCCCGCTTCGGGACTCCCACCCAGCCGCGCCGCTTCCGCGCGAGCAAGATGGCGGCCCCGGCGCCCGGAAGTCATTACGCGAAGCGGCGGCGCCGGCGACGTAGCGCGTCAGGACGCGCGGCGCTGGCGTGTGTACGGCGTCCCAGCGGCTTCCCAGCGCCGGCCCAGAGAGCTGGACCGCGGGCCGTGGGAGGCCCAGCTCCCCGGGCGCCAGACCGGCCAGCGAGCGCGCCGCTGCTTCGGGCGCGAGCGCCGAGGCCGGCGCTTGGCACGGAAGCCTCCTGGCGCCCTGCGTTGGCGTCCTGACGTCACAAGCCCCCGCCGCCGTCGCCGCTAGTGACGCGCAAGGCGTCGCGCCGGCTCCTGTGACGTCACGCGCGCCGTCGCCGTCGCCTGGAGTGACGTGAGAGGCGCCGCGGCCCCTGGGGCGGGCGTTGGAGGTGACTGGTCGTGCCCGGCGTCTCCAGGTACCGATCTGCGCGCTCCGTCCACCCCGGTTGTTTCCGCACCTGCCGCCCGAGCCGGCGATCCTCCCTCGCCCGCTCTCCGCTCGCCCTCAGCCAGTCCCCGAGATCCTCCATGTCGCTCCTTGCGCGCCTCCACCGCTCTAGGCCGAGCCCCCGCGTCCCTCCTGGGACGACTGCCACGGCCTCTTACCGGCCTCCCGTCCCCAAGCTCGCGCAGACGCCAGCGCGTGGCTGTCCTCTGAAAGCCCTGGGAAGTTTGACATTTAAGTGATGTTGTGAAAGTATTTGAAGAGATGATTAGAGAGGAGGCGTAAGGAGGTGTGAGGAAACCTCTCGGGTTGGGAGAGCAAATTGACTTAGATCCTTGGGTTGGTTTGGAGGCGCTGCGGGCGTGAGGTTTGGGGTCATGATATGACAGTGAAACTAATCAACCCGGTTTGGTTGTTCTCCAGCCACGTCCGGCCGCTTGGAGTGGCCAAATGAACTGATGTTTTGATCTGGGAGCGCAGCAAAGGGAGGGGGCAAGGGAATGGCGATTCTCCGCCGTGGATCCAGAAATGATGAGACATGAAGGGACATGAAGGGGTGGCGGCAGTGGAAAGGTACTGTGTGCTCTGGATTGGAGATCCCAGTGGAAGAAATGTCACCAGAGCCAAACGGTGGTAGAGCAGGATACTTGAAACAGGGTGTGGAGGGGGCCGCCTTTTGAATACCTATAGGCTAAGCGTGACCACAGGCAAGGGCAGAAGAGAGTCTTCCTGTTGGAGAGGGAGAAACTCAGAAGCCAGGGCAGTGAGAGCCCACCCTCACTGATGTCCTACCATTGCTCCTGATGTTTTCACAGAGAAAAAAGCTGAGAACCAGACGCTCAGAATACTTAAGGACCCTCGGGCGCAGTGTATGGGAGGGACAGTGCGTGACTGCAAGAAGGAAGCATTTACTTGGAAGGACCTGGGGGTTGAGGGATGAATGAGGACGAATGAGGGCATCTTCCCCCGCTCCCCGCACTCTGCTCTGCATGTATTTGAATATATGCAGAACATAAATCCAGGAAGACATACACTGAAATTTGGCAGTGGGAAAGACGGCATTTATTTTAATTTATTTATTTTATTTATTTATTTTTGGCTGTGTTAGGTCTTCGTTGCTGCACGCGGGCTGCGGGCTTTCTCCAGTTTTGGCGAGCAGGGGCTACTTTTCATTGCGGTGCATGGGCTTCTCATTGCGGTGGCTTCTCTTGTTGCGGAGCACGGGCTCTAGAGCACAGGCTCAGTAGTTGTGGCGCACGGGCTTCGTTGCTCCGCGGCATGTGGGATCTTTCCGGACCAGGGCTCGAACCCGTGTCCCCTGCATTGGCAGGCAGACCCTCAACCACTGCACCACCAGGGACGCCCCGGAAAGAGGGCATTTATGGGTGGTAGGGTTAACAGTGCTTTGAATGCCCGATATACTTTTTTGAATTCCTTAACTTTGTATTTTATGATGAACATGTATTTTGTCTTACCCCCACCACAAATAATAGCGCTGTTTACATTTTGAAAGGAAGGCCCCCTCCATGGCTTCCCCAGTATGTGCTCCTGAATTCAAAGACATTATGGTCTGACGGTACCGGTGCAATACCGAGCTCTCCTACCTCACCTCTCCCTGCTTCTTGTTTAGAACTTAAGGGAGCACCAGCTGGAAACTGTCCCATGCCTTTCTTACCTCTGCGTACGCCACCCCCATACCTCAAGTCGTAGTCCAGGCACTGAGATTCAGATAGATGTCACCAGCCTCAAGAAAGCTTACCTGCGTCCTCCTCTTCTCCTGCTGGCCTTTCTCTGCTCCCAGTACCACCCTCAACTTAACTCTTATGGTTCTGAACACTGTTAGCATTCTGTGCATCTCTACCCCACTGCATTCATAGACTCTGAGCTCCAAAGGGCTAGGGACTCCACTTCCAGCCCAGATGGCTTTTTTGCCTTATGTGTGGTGCATTTAGAAATGTTCCTCTAGAGGCACTCACTGAGTACTCGTCGGGCAGGTACATGAGGGAGAAGGTGCCCAGGTGGTTGTCAGAGCCCTCTGTGCACTGTCTGTGCTTATGCTACCAGCATCTGATGAACTTTATACTTTCATCATGATGTGGGAACCCCAAGCTGAAATATAACTAGCCTTGGGAACTTCCCTGGTGGCGCAGTGGTTGAGAATCCGCCTGCCAGTGCAGGGGACACGGGTTCGAGCCCTGGTCCGGGAAGATCCCTCATGCCTCAGAGCAAATAAGCCCGTGCGCTACAACTACTGAGCCTGCGAGCCACAGCTACTTGTAAGGCCAACTGGCCCGAGGCAGGGGAACGCAATCAGACTCACAGGATGCATCAGACCGAAACTTTCCGGACCACCCAGTTCCAGAAACTGACCTGGAGACTTTCCGGACCACCCAGTTCCAGTGGGGATTTTCCATCCGGCCCAGCCTTCCCGCCATTCGAGGGGCGGGACTAACGGTCCCAAGACTGATGCAACCGGCACCGGATATTGCCACGATACCCGAAGAGACCACCAAATAAGGAATAACCTGCGCCCTCCCGGATTCACCACACCCCTTTCCCTTCTTCCCCTATAAATTCTTACCAAACCCTCGCCCGGGCGCGACTTCTCTGGCCCCTTTCTCTGGGGCCAGTGAACCTCGCCCGGGAGCGTTCCCAAATAAAGCTTGTTTAAGCTCTCCTCCGTTTCTTGGTGCCGTTCCTTATACTGAGCTCACGCGCCATAACTACTGAAGCCCAGGTGCCTAAAGCCCGTGGTCCACAACAAGAGAAGCCACCGCTATGAGAAGCCTGCGCACCACAACGAAGAGTAGCCCCCGCTCCCCGCAGCTAGAGAAAGACCGCGCGCAGCAACAAAGACCCAACGCAGCCAATAAATAAATAAATAAATTAATTAAATTTATTTAAAAAAAATAGCAACAAGATAGTATTTATCACCTTCAAAAGTTTCTTCATACCCCTTTGTAATTCCTTCCTGCACTCCCCTCCACCCGACCCCCCATCTCACCGGGTGACCACTGAGCTGCTTCCTGTTGTATAGATTAGTTTGTAATTTTCAGAATCTTATATAAATGGAATCATAGAGTACTTTTTTGGGGGGGGTTCGGGGGGGTCTTGTTTCTGTCACTCAGCATAATCATTTTGAGATTCACCCATAATGTTGCATGTATAAATAGTTCATTTCTGTTGCTGAGAAGTATGCCATTATATGGATATACCCCATTTTGTTTATCCATTAACCTGTTGATAGACATTTGGGTTGTTTCCAGCTTCTAGCTATTACAAATGAGGCTGCTGTGAACATGCATGAATGAATCTGTTTTTTTTTTTTGGCTGCGTTGGGTCTTCATTGCTGTGCGTGGGCTTTCCCTAGTTGTGGCGAGCGGGGGCTACTTTTCGTTGTGGTGCACAGGCTTCTCGTTGCGGTGGCTTCTTTTGTTGCGGAGCACGGGCTCTAGGCATGCAGGCTTCAGTAGTTATGGCTCACGGGCTCAGTACTTGTGGCTCTCGGGCTCTAGAGTGCAGGCTCAGTAGTTGTGGCGTACGCGCTTAGTTGCTTCACAGCATGTGGGATCTTCCCGGACCAGGGCTTGAACCCGTGTCCCCTGCATTGGCAGGGGGATTCTTAACCACTGCGCCACCAGGGAAGTCCCCACGAATGAGTCTTTGTATGGACGTATTGTTTCATTTCTCTTGGCTTAATGCTTGGGTGTAGGATGATTGGATCATAAGTTTAGATGTACGTTTAACTTTTTAAGAGACTGCTGCTAAACTGTTTACAAAGCGATGTACTATTTTTTTCCTTCATATTTTCTTGGCTGTGCCACGCCACACGTGGGGTCTTAGTTCCCCGACCAGGGATCGAACCTGCGCCCCTTGCATTGGAAGCATGGAGTCTTACTGCCAAGGAAGTCCTGTAGATGCACTATTTTACATTCCCATGAGCAGTGTTCCAGGTTCTCCACATCCTTGCCAGCATTTGATGTGATTAGTCTTTTCAGTTTTAGACATTTTTAGACGAGGTACCTCATGGTATCTCAGTGTGTGTATTTACCTAGTGACTAATGAAATGGAGCATAATTCCGGGTGCTTCTTTGCCGTCACTGTGTCTTCTTTGCTGAGATGTCCAAATCATTTGTGCATTTATCATTGTGTTGTTATTAAGTTTATGTATATATATTCCAGATATGGGACATGTAGATATTTTCTCCCTGTGGTTCGTCTTGTTCTCCCATCAATGTCTTTCGAAGGACAAAAGTTCTTAAGTTTGATAAAGTACAATTTACCAACTTGTTCTCTTATACATTGCACTAAAATATCTGATATGAAAAATATACTGGATGGGTTTAATGGTAGATTAGACGTTGAAGAAGAGAAGGTTAGTGAAATTGAAGACATATAAATAAAAAGTATAAATGAAACAGAAAAGCGAAACAAAATGAAAGAGAAAAAATAAACAGAGCATCAGGTTGTGGGGCAACCTCCAGCAGCTGATACGTGTAATCGGTGCCCCGGGGGTGGGTTTGCACTCTGGCTGGTTGTCAGAGACACTGCTCCTGGCCCTGCTTGAACTCTGAGGAGTCTTGCCTCTAATCCTGTTTGTTGGCTCCTTTCTTGGCCTGGTGATTCCCTCACACACACACTAGTCAGTCCTAAGCTATAGATCTCACATCCTCTTTCTTATTCTGTGTTCTGCCCCCCAAACTCCAGCCATCTTGGCCTCCCTGGCCTCCCAGATCCATCCACTT